TTATTACTAATTATATAACAATATCTAGAGCTTACTGTTGTATTACTAACGATAAGGAAGAATCTGCTGAAGTAAGCTCATGACACGCAAAAGAGGTCTGTACAGATTTATGGATTTATTTACAAACAAAATTCTTCTTGGAGCAATTATGACATTACAACACAGATTCAACATCCTTCGACAGTCTAGATTCTTCACATCCTTTCTATTTGGCTTGAAATTTCCATGTCTTTTTATATAAATTATCACTGTACATCGACGCCTTGACTGCTTTGACATGTTAATCGAAAACGTAGCAACATGCTACAAACAATGTCCTCCCATATGCATTGGATGCTTAATTAGATGCTAGACAACAGCGACGTGTTGTGTAGCATCTAAAGTGTGTGAGCTACTACTATATGTGACATACTTATGGTCGACTATGCCTTATATAAAGATATTTGAACTTGGGAATCTTCGAGATCATATTTGCCTGGGCTGTCAATCCACACCATGTCATGATTTACAGTATAGATATTTCAAAGTGCGGGTCTTTGTTACATTGTTAAAATGTGAAAGTTGAAGTTACGGATTCTATTCAGCTACAGCCCGAGGGAAGAAGTAGAGCTTCTTGCGTAGGGTGTGCGTCACTTCCGGTTGCTGCTTGTACTCTTGGTTTTGAGTTTTGAAGTCTGCGACTTTGGCGTTTACCTGGTGGATGGAAAGAAACTGTCACTATAAGTTTCAATAATGAGCCAGTCGGTTTACATGGTCAACCAATCAGTCAACAACCTATGGTTGTACTCAGACAGTGCTTAAGAACCATATAAAACAGAATCACAGCAGAGGACACAAGAAGGCGATTAATTGCAACCGTGAGTGTACAATATGATAGAGAACACGACGTTAGCTCACCCTTCTGAGCATGTCTTGTAGCTCTTCCGTCTCGGCGTGTTCTGTGATGACGTCAGCAAGGACCTGGATCAACCACGTGCCTGTGTTGGAGTTCCTCCAGGACACGTGACCTGTAAAACACGTTATATTGGGTCGATCAATTCCACACAGACATTCCACGTTCGGAGCATGTTATTGATCAATGTACAGTAGCAACATGAGTGACATAAGCTGTATAGCGCTAAAGATTCCACTGAAAAAATAAATTTCATGAAATCTTGGAACGGTTTAGGAATGACATGCAAAAGATGATGGATGTACTCCATATCTACATTGAGTTTTTATGTTTGAGAACATGTTTTGGTTTGGAAAAATATGTGCATTTGCTCTTAGAACGTTGTCAGCTGTTTAAGAAGATTAGTAGCATTTCCGTGGATAAACACTATCCGGGTTGCGGGGTTTAGTACTCACCATGTACTGTAGCGTACATCACCAGCCGGTCACTCGCTGTAGGTAAGGTTCTTTCTCCGGCATCAGGACTCTCCACAGGGGCTGGAGGTGCGGGTGGTGCGGCTGTTGGAGGAGGAGGTAACTCGGTGGTTTCAGCAGTTCCATCTGATGCTTCTGTCCCGGCTTGTGAGGTGCTGCTTGCTTCACCTGGGGTCGTGTCTGCATGATCCACACCTTTGTCCGTGTCAACTAGAAAAGTTTGGATGACAAGTCCACGTTAACAAGGAACCCCAACGTCGCCATTTTTGTGCAATGGAACTTTTATGTTATTGCGCTCTTAAATTTCACAAGGAATCTCTAAGTACTAAGTGCTGAAGAAAAATAATGTATGAAGATGATATAGAAAACGTATGAGGTCATGTGCTTTCCTATACAGGGAAGTGTTATGTTCGCCTTTAATGGATAATGATTCAAAGAAGCACTTGTAGAGATATTTCTGTGTCAATCATCTGCCTATAATTACTTTATCCCGGTCGTTTAGTAACGGTTTCCCGTAAAGAATTCTCACCTCCTCTGCAAGCCTGAATGAAGAAAAGTTTCGGTTTTCCCACAAGACTCTTACATGCCTGGAAACTAGAAATGATGCTGTCCACAGGAACGTGCTGTCCGTCAGTACCCGACACTCCTGCCTTTACACCATGGGACAGCAGGAACAGCACGAAGCAATCGTAGTTGCTGTGATCTCTTTGGGAGACCTCCTTTGCTACGGCTGACATTTCCTGAGGGTTTAAGAGAAAAGTATAGTTCAGTTACGGCTGTATAAACTCTTCCACATTCAGGATGACTTCTGGTGGCACAGTATCATCTTTAGAACGCAAAAATATGAGCTTTTAGCAACGGTTTCAAAGAAAATCTAACAACATCCTAAAATGTAAATGTCGGGTAAAATGTCTATTTACAGGTAGTACATGATTAGATTTTAAAGAGCCTTTCAATTCCAAATTGAACAACAAGCAACCAAAAATTAGATTGGAAAAAAGCTATTATCATAAATTAGACCGTCACGATGAATAACCCACCTGTGCTGTGAGGTCCTCTCTGATCTCCTGTTGCAGCTTAAGTTTCTCACAAATCTTTCTGAGGTTGTCCAGATCCTGCTTCCCTCCTGGTCTGTTCCATGTCTGATCCGTAAAGTTAGTGTTGCTGATGATCAGTGCGACACCGAGCGGGTCGGAGGTCATCTTGTAGCAATCCTGATCAAGAAAACATTTACCAAAACGTCGTCAGCCCTAAAGATGAACATATTCTGTAAAGGGGAATCAAAAGAGACTAGCCGCAAAATTTCTATAAAGTTGGACAGGTGCAACATCTAATAAAATTACATATAAACAACTACTAGAATGCATCATTTAACAAATGATACTATGTCTACTATCGTTTTCTCCACTACTTACATTTCCATGTGAAGGCGGCATTATTTCAGTCAACGATGCTCTACGCTCGGCCACTACGAAAAGGAAAGACGTCATTACAATGGGAATCAGTCCAGGCATTGAGGTTACAAGACATTTTAATACTTGGAATAAAGCTAAATGGTACACTATGGTTATAAGATTCATATGGAACGCTTTCTATCAAATGCAACATCCAAACATACCTGATAATCTGCTCGGTCTGTACACAAGATCAGCCGACGTTTTTGCTGTATGCATGACCCCGGGACACCTGACGTCACGGCCGTCCTCTGCAGTCCGGTCCCTCAGGTCGTACTGGTGCGGCTTCTCCAGTCCTGCCTTGATGCAGTGCGCACAGGTGACGTGGAGGGAGTATAGCACACCTGGCCACTCCTGCAGCAGCTGGACCAGCACCTCCAGCAGTGGGTGGACCACGCCCCACATCTCATCTGCCTGGTCAAGCCTGCCTCTGGTTGCCATGGTAATGTAGGTGTCATCTGCACCACGTTTGGAACACACCAGTATGGGATAATCCCGGTGCTTATGGTAGGCCATGACACCGTCTTTCCAGTCAACCCTGTCCTTGACAAGTGGATGGATCCCAACACTGAACCTCTGAAACAGTCCCCGGGGACAGAATCCTCTGATATCACACATCAGCGGCAGCTGTTCCTGATCTTCTGGTACGACTTCAGGCCAGACATCCTTCAACTCCCCTGGCATTTGATGGTCCAAATACCAAGGGATCTTGTACAGACTGATGTGTTTGGAAGGGTCCGTTTTGTCTTTAGCCTCTATCTCAAAGCATAAGCCAAAGTTCTGCATCAGTGCAGTAACAATGTCCGGGTTGATATTAGGTGGTAATAAACATGCGATCACTTCCTTCTTGATAAGTCCGCGGTCCCGGAGGTCCGATCGGAATCCGACCAGCTGAGGAGAAGTGAACCTGTCTAGTTTTGAATTTGCTGCGGAGAGAAGGGTGTCGGTATCATGGTGAAACAGGTCTTTGAAGATGTCTATCAATCTGGGAGGGTCATGAAAGATAAAGGCCTTGAGTTCCGGTATGTCCGTGTACCTGAGGATGGTTCCCACCTGCTTTAGGTAAGACAGGACTGGCTCCAGTCTATCTGATGAAAGTCCAGCAAGTTGTCCAAGTCGTTCACAGTCAGTTACTTTCAGCCAGTATTTTCGGGGCTGTTTGACTTTCTCCAGTGACGACATTTCGGCATAAGTTTCATCAGCGTCTGTATTCGAGGCTTGATTTTGAAGCAAACGTTTAAAATCTACCCACGTCTTTGGTAGGATTCTTCTCAGTGTGGGAAACAATGTTGTATTCCTCGCTGTTTTCAAAAGAAAGTCTTTCAGTTTAATGTAAGATGAAATTGTGAATATTGCGAGAATTGCCGCCTTCTGTTTCACAGACACACTGTGCACATCTTCAATAATACGCAATCTCTTCGAAAGCAGGTTATTAACACGTGTTAGATGCTGGGTTAAATCTTCCACAGACTTCGATGAACCTGGTTTCTGTAACTGCCGTACAAGCTCAAGTGTTTCGATTTGTTGTTTTAAATGTCTTTCCCACAACACCTCTTGTTGTTTGACCCTTTTCTGGATGTCGTGCGTCTTTCTTTCTACGTCTGCAGATGGACAAAGATCCTTCTTACTTCCAATCAATGAAACCACCGCCCCCGGCACGTGAGCATTCAGTGTGTCCAACCAAAACCCTACAGCCTTCATGTAATCATGTTCAGTGCATCTGTATGTCTGAAGATTCACTACCAACAGGTAAAATGCATCTGGAGTCAAAAAGAACTGATGAGTGAGATGGTACACGTCATGGCCGCCAAAGTCGTAAACTTCAAAAGTGATGTTGTCATCAGGTGCCCACTGAGTTATCTCTACACAGTGTGTGCGGTCCTCTTCTTCTGTCAGGGTGGACTGGCCCTTGCTTAGCGTTTGTACCAAACTTGTTTTTCCCGCCATTTTCTCTCCTAAAACTACAACTTTCAAACGAGCGGATACTTCTTCCTCTGAGTGTTCAAGTTCGTGGAAGTACTGTCTGATTGCATTGATCCCATGACTGCAAACTTCAGCTGGTGGTTTTATGAGTGGGTTTCCAATGACGTCAAGGCCAGATACGTTTGTAAGCTGTGCAATTTCCACAGGTAAAGCGTCAAGGGAATTCCAACTCAGGTCCAGCCGTTCTATATATAATAACTGTGTCAGTCTCCCCACTTCAGATGGGAGTGTGCGCAGTTCGCAGTTAGACAGATCCAGGTGTTTAATGTTGGTGAGTTGTCCGATTTCCGCGGGTAACGTCTGTAGTGGGTTAGAGCTCAGGTTCAGCCATTCTAACTGTGTCAGTCTCCACAATTCAGGTGGGAGTGTGCGCAGTTTGCATTTAGACAGATCCAAGTGTTTGACGTTAGTGATCTGTCCGATTTCCGCAGGTAACGTCTGTAGCGGGACAGAGCTCAGGTCCAGCCATTCTAACTGTGTCAGTCTCAACATTTCGGGTGGGAGTGTGCGCAGTTCGCAGTTTGACAGATCCAGGTGTTCAATGTTTGTGAGTTGTCCGATTTCCGCGGGTAACGTCTGTAGTGGGTTAGAGCTCGGGTTCAGCCATTCTAACTGTGTCAGTCTCCACACTTCAGGTGGGAGTGTGTGCAGCTCGCATTTTGACAGCGTCAAGTGTTTAACGTTGGTGAGCTTTCCGATTTCCGCGGGTAACGTCTGTAGTGGGTTAGAGCTCAGGTTTAGCCATTCTAACTGTGTCAGTCTCCACATTTCGGGTGGGAGTGTGCGCAGCTCGCAGTTAGACAGATCCAGGTGTTCAATGTTGGTGAGTTGTCCGATTTCCGCGGGTAACGTCTGTAGTGGGTTAGAGCTCGGGTTCAGCCATTCTAACTGTGTCAGTCTCCACACTTCAGATGGGAGTGTGCGCAGTTCGCATTCAGACAGATCCAAGTGTTCAATGTTGGTGAGTTGTCCGATTTCCGCGGGTAACGTCTGTAGCGCGTTAGAGCTCAGGTCCAGCCATTCTAACTGTGTCAGTCTCCACATTTCGGGTGGGAGTGTGTGCAGCTCGCTTTTTGACAGATCCAAGTGTTTAATGTTGGTGAGCTTTCCGATTTCCATGGGTAACGTCTGTAGCGCGTTAGAGCTCAGGTCCAGCCATTCTAACTGTGCCAGTCTCCCCACTTCAGATGGGAGTGTGCGCAGTTTGCAGTTAGACAGATCCAAGTGTTTAATGTTGGTGAGCTTTCCGATTTCCATGGGTAACGTCTGTAGCGCGTTAGAGCTCAGGTCCAGCCATTCTAACTGTGTCAGCCTCCATATTTCAGATGGGAGCGTGCGCAGCTTGCAGTCGAACAGATCCAAGTGTTTGATGCTTGTTATCTGTCCAATTCCCGCCGGTAATGTCTGTAATGGGTTAGAGTCCAAGTCCAGCCACTCTAATTTTGTCAATGTCCACACTACCGGAGGAACTGTGACCATGCCTGTTTCCCCTAGTTTCAGTACCCGGATGTTGGTGAGTCCGGACAGCTCATCCGGCAGGTGGATCCCGCTGTTCCGGCTGAGGTCCAGTTCCTCCAGCTGGGTGAGTTTCAGTACTACCGGCGGAACCGTCGCCAAGTTACAATCACATAGTCCCAATACTTTTATATTCTGTAGCTTGTACAACTCATCTGGCAGGGAGATCTGATTACCACTTAGATCCAGCTCCTGTAGGTTTGACAGTTTCAGAACAACAGGCGGTAACGTGTCCAGGTCACAGTTATCTAAGTCCAGGTGGGTAAGATTAACTAGACTGGACATCTCATCCGGCAGTTTGATCTCCTTGTTGTACCAGAGGCTCAATTCATTCAACTGTGAAAGTTTCGTCACGGAAGCAGGAACTGTCTTAAGGTCGCAGTTCCCCAGGTCCAGTAAAGATAGGTTAACTAGACTACACATCTCATCCGGCAGGGTGATGTTCTTGTTGTAACTGAGATACAGTACTTCCAACTGCTCAAGCTTCATGACGGCAGTTGGAACTGTGTCAAGATTACATTCATCTAAACTCAACACTTTCAGATTGGTCAATCCGATAAGATTGTCAGAGAGTTTGATGTATTTATTATTCTCTAACTCCAAAGCCTCCAACTCAGTTAATTCTAAAAGGTCATCGGGTAGCTGGCTGAGGTGCTGGTTAGACAAGTCTAGTGTCAAAAGAGTTGTCGTTTTCCCCATGATGTACCATTCAGTAGGTTTTATCTTTGCCCTAAGGCTTTGTGGTGAAGCCATGATGATATTCTTGATATTTCTGCAAGGAAAGCCCAAATATGTGTCATGAGATGGTTTTGTAATATCAACCACGTGTAATGAGTATAATAATATACTGCTTTGTATTATGTTGATGTTGTGCATATTGTTTTTTTATCCCCATGCAAATGAAAAAATAAGAAAGTATGGTGAAAGTAAAAGCAAGGTGATCTCAGTGGACTTAAATGAAAGTCTACCTACTCTTCCACTAGTAACAGACTTCGTGTACACTGTTTTAACGAGACCGATACATGTATCTGAGAATAGCATGCTTTAGAATATTAGTGGTAGTGCCATGTTATACACAATGCATTCCCGGTGTACAAAGAACTGACAAGCTACAAGTGCGCACAGGTTGTAACATTACCCAGTATGTTATTGGGAAACCCTACTTAAACATTAGCTCTAAATGTACACAAACATCCTACTCGCTAGTCATTGACCTTTGCTATAGCTATGGGTCAGCACCAAAAAAAATTAGATCGTTATCAGTCACACGAATGTATGGCAATAGTAGGCGAATGGCTCTACTACATGTACATTTGTATACAACCGGCCTGTCACGAGTCTGTTGCCATGGTGAGGAAAACTGTTGTTTACACACCTGTCAATCAAAGAACTAACCAAACTTATTCATTTATTTGTTTCAAATGCAAACAACACATTACACAGACTTACAGGCAGCAAAAGCTGACAAACGTAAGTCTATATAGAGGTTAACAAGTACATTACATATATACACAGGTACGCATTGGGTTGGGTTGGCATAATAGGCATTGCCATTGTACAGTTATATTTGTCTACGTCTCCGCCATCTCTGATGATTTGTACTGCCTATGAATTTGGGGAAAATATTAGATTTAGACTTACATAGGCCTAAACCAGAAAAGGAAGACGTGTAATATCTTCCAATGACAACAGACATCAGTAGTGTATGTTGGACACGGTCGTTCACAATTGGAAAGTATGATGATTTTGAAAAAATCCCAAGGAATTTTTCATCAGCTCCAATATGACATTAAAAGGGAGCCATTTCAGGCTTGTCACAAGAGATTATCACCATGGAGACGAAAACTCAAGTAGCTGATAACACATCGACCTGTTTGCACCAAACAGCAAAAACACCTGGTGGACGTCAAACAAAACATCACGAGACTGTGGACAGCGTCATATGTGATTATTAGGTGATATTACAAAACCGGCGCTATTCTGTTCAAATGAACGGTTGTGAACTATTGTCACCTGTGTATGTGCACCACAACGCACCATTTAAATGAAGTAGAAAAATTAAGATTTCTCATGAAACTTGACAAATCATGTATTATTGGTTCCATATGCTCGTACATCTATAACTGCGTCAAGAAGCGAGAAGACGTTGAACATGTAAATAGTAGATCACATTAGTATGTATAGTTTAAGTGTAATTGCTGTATCCTTTTCCTTGTCTATCCATGACCTGTACTTAGCTTGTTAGAGCACAAATGTACAATAAAGGTCGTTCATTCATTCATTCATTATACCAAAGGAGAGACACCTATCCTGGTTTAGTGCCCGTTATCGTCAAATAATATCACCTGTAAGTGATCATTCAAGTTCGGACTAAGGGTTATATTCCTACACATGTATCTGGTGTCTGGAAGATCACGTGAGTGACGATGGTGCAATGCTAGAAGGAATTATCCCTTTGTTTTGAAGATATGAGGAGCGGTAATAAGGATAGGAAGTACACATGACAATTCAAAGGCTATGCCCCCAGCTCGATAATGCATACCTGGTCTAAGCAATCAATTTCAACACTTCAAGTTGACCAGGTGACCACTTCTCGTGAACCTGGTGCCCAGTCTATCGTGGTTAGGGTGGGTGTCTTCGGGGCCAGTCTTTAAGACCACCCCCCCCCCCCCCCATCCTCCAAGCTCAGTTGGCGGCTCGGTGAGTGTTACGCTTTTACGAGCTTTGCTAAATAGAGTTTTCTGCGCCAGGAGTTAATATTAGCCCCGGGTATCCTAGCTGAGTCGGGTGGCAAAGAACTCCTGTAGGCCCGAATAAAGACTGGACACCAGGCTAACTTCTCGTTTACAAATCAAATATTTCATCGGTTCATAACATGTACGTCTCCTACTTACATATATGTATTGTTCTGTACTAAATAGCATGTGACATACAATTTTCTTAGGACGTACTGAGGGGCAAGTCACAAATTCTATGAACCGATGAAATATTTTTATTCACAGATGATAATATTTATGTGAAATATCACGGCTTACCTTCTATTGATGCAGTCAGAAAGATGACAGTTGAGTTGAGACAGCTTCGCAAAGTCTACAGTGTATCGGGATAATATTTAGTCTTTGTAATGTACGTCCACTCCACCTGTAATACCACTCGGGTGGCAGTTAATCCTGTCGGAATGGTCTCGCTATCCTCTTGTCGTTTTCGCGAGGTTTTAGCGGGAAAACCACAAGAAAAAGTCCTTAATTCTTACTCTAAAATTAAAGTTCAATCAGTCCTCAAATCCAGTTCAGTTCGACCCCGGTGGTAACAGAAATCCACAAAAATAAACGTCCGTAAGAACACGTCCCTGTTCAGTCCGCCGGCCCGGGGCCGGAGCCCCGCCGAACTGCCTCCAGCGGCAGGACTCAGCTATAGAACCCGCCTGTCGCATGACGCCGTTACCATGGTGAGGAAAACTGATGTTATAATACCTGTCACTCAAAATGCTGATAAAACCTCCAGGTGGGCCGGCTTGTTTGCACCAAACGGTAAAAATAACTTGTGGACTTCAAACCTCAAACATCACAAGACTGTCGGCAGTCTGTACAGAGTTCACACAATGGTCTTTTATCCTGCAATGATATTTCGTAGCTTTTTTCTTCTAGACTTAAGCTTCTTAGTTTATTAGCTCGTGCGTAGTGATATTTATACAATTGTTCCTTAAGTCAATTATCATGTATATATTAGATTCTGCTGATAATCAAAAGCAATCCATGCAGTTCCTATATGGTTTGGCCATTATCGTCATCGTCATATTCGTTCCCTACAAGATATATATATATTCAATTTTCAGTATCCTGAAAACATCTTTATGGTTACTTTACTTTATTGTCCGTTTAAAATTTAGAGAGTACGCTAGAGAGTACAGTTTGTCGCTCCCGAACTGTACTTTCCATGCAGCAAGTATACTATACAATTGAAATGAGTGCTAATGTTGAAAATATAGGCCACTTCACCTGCTAGTCAGAAGGGTTCAGCAAAAGTTTCAACAGACAATAAAGTCAACCATAAAGATGTTTTCAGAATACTGAAAATTGTAAAAAAAAGAGTACTAATGTTGTAAACAACGAAAAAGAGCCAGCCTCTTGCATCTGCTTGAAAATCACTCCACAGCATGACCAAATAAGGCTTGGGGTGCATGCAGTCAGGTGTCCTGTCAACGTCCGATGGAGCATACATGTAGGTATGTATCTGACGTCACAGTTCAAATGTATAAGTCAACATAAATACGTGCATCTGATAACTACACTGTTCATGAGGACAGATGTTATAAGCCTCATTATACACTTAGATTAAGTGTAACAAGTCGTTCGGTGTGATATAGCTAGCTGCCGCCGCGCCGCGTGCCTGCGAAGCTGGTGTGTTACGCCAAGGGTTATACCGGCTATACTGATACAGAGGTACACAATTACAAGGTAACATGCCTGCAGGTTAATGTTATTTGTTTTATGACTAGTATGTAATTTCTATTTTTTGAGAATGTAAGCCCCTGAAAACAGGGCTTCACCAATTTCCTACATCTGACGTCAAAGTTCAATGTATAAGTCAACATAAATACGTACATCTGATAACTTCACTGTTCATGAGAACAGATGTTAGAAGCCTGATGAAAGGCCTCACCAATTTCATCTTGGATTTGCCTGCTTCATTTTTTTTCTCTGATTAAAAAATCAGCTTTTGAATTAACTCCAAATGCTTTTGGCCTCAACAGTTGAAGGAAGCCCTTGTCTTCTAATGTCATGTTATTTATCAATACAGTGATTTGATTCAAAGTCCAAACTTCATTGTTTGAACCAGCCTGTCATGTTGACTTCATGGTTCCTATTGAAGCATTTGGAAATATCATAGGATGCCTTAGACTGTTAGTTTGTCTTTGATACTTGACATGTTTTCTGAAAAAATCTGACAACTAACAAATTAAATTGGTGGGAAAATGTAAAGGCATAACTACAACTAACAATGAACTCACACACAGTCATATCAGCAGCGGAAAGGCCAAATTCATTGTACGTTTACAACATCTCCAAATTTTATCACATGTACATAACACTGACTGAAGCAGGGGAACACAGAGCTCACAATGTTTCACTTAGTTCTGTGGGAAATAACATAACATCATGTGTAATCAACATACATGACTGCTATCCTATAACCTCAAAGTTTTGCAACAATGTTTATGGTTACCGTATCTTCTTGTTAAGTCTCAACTAGACTCCTTTCTAGGCGAAATAAATAAACAAAATTTCCCAAAGCAGTGAACAAAGATTTGTGGATGAATGTTAGACATTCAGGTAATGAGATACATGAGAAAACAGTCAGCAATACTCAAGCAACTGGATACATTTTGAAAGCTGTCAGATGTTGCAAGTAGCATCAACTACTTTTTATCAGTTTTCAAAATCTGTCCAGTTGCTTGAGTTACAGCCTTCTTCTTCTAGTGAAAAACAAGAGCATGCATATGCTACAGATGTATTCAGTCAGGGTTTTGTGAATATAACCTCTGCAAATTTTTCATCCCATTTCAGCCAACTGGTATATTTTCTCTGTTTAGCCTGAGAAGAGTCTACCTAAGGCTAGCTAACTCTCCTTGAAAACCAGTAAACTACCTTCATATTTACATGTACATGAGACTCTATGAGTTAGACACTTTTCTGGGATGCAGTCTTCTTGTTCTAACATTTCATCAAAGAAATCACCCTATAATTTGAAACTGTTGGTTTCAATTCATGGAACGGCTAAAAAAACAAAATCTGTGTCAAGTGAAGCCTATGTAAGAGATGTTAATAGTAAGATATACCCCTTTTCCCTGAACAATGATAGGTAAAGACTGACGCATGACTCTTATAGTACTCTCCCAATATGGTAGATGTTGCCACTTACATGTGTTTCCTCTATAGAGATATGTGTCACCATGATGTTAAACCTACATGTACACCCATTGGTTATAACCCTTCAACCAAGTTTCTTCCGTGGAGTTTCTGTTAGCCTATCCAGTATTTTTAGACTCCGTGGAGCTACTGCTGCTCTACCCACTCATGTTGCCTTTGCAGAAATACATTATACATTGTAAAGTGTTGTTTGAATTTGCCATCCCCCTATTTCCTCTGTGGAGTTTCTGCTCTGTTATATGACTCCATGGAGCTACTTCTGCGCTACCCCCCAACCCGAGTTTCCTCCGTGGAGCAACTGCTGTTCTACCCACTCATGTTGCCTCCATGTAGGTACTGTTGTACAAAGGAGTTCAGTTCACTGTCCAGCCATCCTGCCTTGTTCCTGTCAAGTAAAAAAAAACACACATCTGTCAAGATGACTTCTTTCTCATTGTGTAAACATAAATCTTACCATGAACATTACATTGTATTTTTTCAATCTGTTAAACCTTCAAAAATTTTTTTATTGCAGTCGCAAAACCCACAATGTACATTTGTGAAATGAATGAGCAATAAAGTGATTATTGACTATTCACCATATATACATGTACTGCCTCAAAAAAAGGAGTGAAACCCCTCATAAATGTATGTAGAAACATCAAACAGATCTATAGACTAAATTTTCTTGACCTCATTTAGATATGGTGAGTTACCTTGCAATTAGCCTTCAGGCATAAGTTTTCAAATAAATTAAGAAAACATTTACATTACATCATTTACATATATAAGCTGCAGTACTGACCTGAGCAGCTTGGCGCGCTGCTGCACCTCCTCCAGCTGGTCGATCTCCGTGTTGAGCTGGCTGATTTCCCGCTGGAGCTCCTCCTTAGCAACGTCCACCTGACGACACAGCCGGGCAAAGTTACCAGACAGCTCCCTGTGGGGTGGAAAGGTCATTAGAACTTTTAAGGACACACATGTTCAAGGTCACCCCCCTCCCATCTAGTCTTCACATGGAACAGGCATTAGAACTTTCAAGGACATATGTACATAATTATACATTGTACATCTCCAAGGGTGCCCCCCTCCCATGTTCCACCTGTACTGCATTGCAACACAGCCAGGCAAAGTTACTGGACAATTCAATGTGAGATGGAAAGGTCATTAGAACTTTCAAGGACACACACTTCCAAGGTCACCCCCCTCCCCCATATTGTCAATATTGTCAGACACAGTATACGAACTAAATCAAAAACAGGCATGTACAAAATGTACAAATCATGTAATATGAATTATGGTACATACCAAAAGTAACTAGGTGAAGCTGTCAAAAAGGTCCCTGAATTGTGAATTTTTCATTTTTCAAAGAATACTGCCAAGGTCACCCCCCTCCCCACTTTCATCACCTTTCATACAAGCACAGCAAAGAACAGGGCAAAGAACAAACACAGCTGCCTGCTGAGGTCACACTAATATACCAGTTTGTACTGCCTCAGCAGGAGTCTGTAGTGTGAAGGTTAACAGTCTGACTTACTGTTGAACTTGATGACTGATGTTCTGACTGGTGAAACTGACGACCAGTTGTAGCTTGTCCGAGGCGTAGTCCACAAACTGTTTTTTGAAGGTTCGCTCCTTGGCCTTGTTAGTCCAGGTGAGACGTTCGTACAGGTAGAGTAGTGCGTACAGTCCTCCTGTCACCGCTATCAGCCGCCAGCCAACAGCCTTCCAGATCTGTAGTTAACATGCAGACGATGATACATTTTAGAAATTAAAAAATTCACAATTCTGTACTATAGTTTACTGACCTGTTCTATTGGCCAAGGCAATGTGCAGCATATATCTCTACAAATATGTTATATTACCTAATATGCAGTTTATATGCACACGCTCACAATCAATAATAGCAAATTGAAGCTGATTTAAAAAGTGCCTAGATAGCTACATTGTATTATAAAGGATAATACAATGTGGTTTAATGCTTTATTTGTATGTGCTGACACAAAATTATCAGTTCCAAAATTGACTTATTAAATCAGAGGACAGTTTCTCCTGAACATTTCTCCCACAGCTTTTATCCTAGCACCATCAAATTCTACATAATTTTATACTATAGGGAGATTCGCCAAAAAGCAGTTACTCAAGTCAAGCAACTGGATATGATTTTGGAAACGGTCAGACATTTCAGCTAGTATCCACTTTCGTCAGTGACTTAGAGACCAGAGGAGAAATGCAGGTTTATAAGCACAAACAATTATAGTAAGGGCAATAGTTGCAATAGTTAGTGCTTATAAACCTGCATTTCTCCTCTGGTCTCTGTCCCTGACAAATATGGATACTAGCTGAAACGTCTGACCGTTTCCAAAATCATATCCAGTTGCTTGAGTAACTGCTTTTTGACGTATCGTATTACCTGGATGTCTAGCCTTCATCGACATATAGGGGGATTATCTGCCCTGTTTCTACATGTACCACAGATCCTACAATGTAGCTGCTCTTCCTGAGTACTACTCACCACCCCTGTGATGACCAAGACTCCCACAGAAGAGCGAGAGTAGATAGAGGCGAGGTTGGTGATGAACCTGGCCATGATTTCTGCATCCTGAGCCATCAGGTCCTGTACATGGGGAGCTAACACCACCTCACCTACCTCTGCAGGGGGCAGCGGGCGGGGGACCTGGGCAACAGAAAAGAGCAATAAGCATGACAATGCAGTTGTGTTATTACACAATGTATTGTACTAACCTTTGGAGGAATATGAAATTTAGATTTGGAGATCTTCATGTTCTAAACCTCCCTACATGTGTCATTCTATTGCAAATCAAAATGACATTAATCCAAATCAATATGATGAATCTAATATTATATTCTTACACACAGATTTATCAACGGGATGGATTTTGAAAACTGTCTGACATTTCAAGACAGTACAGATTCTGTTAGTCAAAAAGTAGTGGATGCTCCTTGAAATGTCAAAATCTATCCAGTTGCTGGAGTTACTGTTTTCTTGTAATATTTTCTACATACCGTGTCGTCGTATCCCATGAGCGCCCGTTTGGCAGTCTTGGGTCCGAGGAACCTGCGTACGAGCGCCTGCCAGCCCAGAGAGAACTGGAACTCTATGTTCTCCTGGAAGTCTGCACACAGGTTGTGGATGTCCAGGTGGAAGTTAGCTTCAAACGGCTCCCTGCGGACCAGGACAGCTCCGGACTGATCCATACACTGTTGTCTCACCTCAGGGGGGAGCAGGGCTTCCATACGCTCTGTGGACGTACAGAGGATAGGTCAAATATGTTAGTTTTGTCACTATATAGGGTTGCATGGGTATTGTTTTTGGTCCAGTGTGCATTTGTGTAAGTGTATGCGTGTTTGTGTGTGTGTGTGTGTGTGTGCATATGTGTGTGTACGTGTTTGTGCATGTGTGTGTAGAGTGTGTGTGTGCACGTCATGTGTGTGCGTGTGCGTGTGTGTTTTTACAATAGAAGAAGTCAGAAGCAGTTCTGCATGTATCCTGTCTTTTCCCTTTGAATCTAAAGGAGAAAAAGGAAACACTCTCCGTCTGACATCATTTACCTGTCATTTCAGTCTGTACGTACCTCTAGTGTCTGACTGAGGTTAGGCATACAGCGTGTCGGCCAGGTCCAGGTGTGTTACAGGTGTAGTTAAAAGTGTGTTACAGACACACTCACCTGTCATTTCAGTCTGTACGACCTCTAGTGTCTGACTGAGGTTAGGCATACAGCGTGTGGCCAGGTTCAGATGTGTTACAGGACAGGTGTGATACAGGTGTGATACAGACACACTCACCTGTCATTTCAGTCTGTACGACCTCTAGTGTCTGACTGAGGTTAGGCATACAGCGTGTCGCCAGGTCCAGGTGTGTTACAGGACTGGTGTGATACAGGTGTGATACAGGTGTGTTACAGGACTGGTGTGATACAGGTGTCATACAGGTGTGATACAGGTGTGTTACAGGACTGGTGTGATACAGGTGTGATACAGGTGTGATACAGGTGTGTTACAGGTGTGATACAGGTGTGTTACAGGACTGGTGTGATACAGGTGTCATACAGGTGTGATACAGGTGTGTTACAGGTGTGATACAGACACACTCACCTGTCATTTCAGTCTGCACCACCTCTAGTGTCTGACTGAGGTTAGGCATACAGCGTGTCGCCAGGTCCAGGTGTGTTACAGGTGTGTTACAGGTGTGATACAGACACACTCACCTGTCATTTCAGTCTGCACCACCTCTAGTGTCTGACTGAGGTTAGGCATGCAGCGTGTGGCCAGGTGTAGGTGTGTTACAGGTGTGTTACAGGTGTGTTACAGGTGTGTTACAAGTGTGTTACAGACACACTCACCTGTCATTTCAGTCTGCACCACCTCTAGTGTCTGACTGAGGTTAGGCATACAGCGTGTGGCCAGGTTCCTGCCCAGCCCCTGCTCCAGGTGAGTGTGCAGCTCCTTCTTGTACACCTTCAGCACCATGGGGTTGGGGTGGAACGGCGTGTTGAACTCATCCATCAGAACCGAGAGCCGGCGGATTTCTTCTCGCATCGCGCTGGAGACCTGTGACAAGAAAATTTCACAAAAGTCAGGAAAAAGAAAATTTCATTTAACCTCTTAGGATCTAAAATTCTACGCGTATGGAGAAATACAAAACATATTCATGGATTTTATTTTACAAAAACTAAGGGTTATCTCTTTCACTGTGAGTGTCACAGTAGTTTAAAAACTTGGAGATAACCAAGCAAATGACTTCTCACAGCAGTATCTTACATCTAAACCCTGAACTTTGATCCCTGAACCTTAACCCCTGACCTATAACCCACCTGTTTCTCCACATCCTCGGTCATGTCCCTGATCCTGTCCTTACACTCCTGGGTCATCAGGTCCAGCTGTAACCCCTCAACCTTAACCCCTGACCTTTAACCCACCTGTTTCTCCACATCTTCAGTCATGTCCCTGATCCTGTCCTTACACTCCTGGGTCATCAGGTCCAGCTGTAACCCCTGAACCTTAACCCCTGACCTTTAACCCACCTGTTTCTCCACATCCTCAGTCATGTCCCTGATCCTGTCCTTACACTCCTGGGTCATCAGGTCCAGCTGTAACCCCTGAACCTTAACCCCTGACCTTTAACCCACCTGTTTCTCCACATCCTCGGTCATGTCCCTGATCCTGTCCTTACACTCCTGGGTCATCAGGTCCAGCTGTTTCTCTGTCACGTCCAGACGGTCACTCTGCTCCTTACACTGCTCAATACAGATGGCTCTATAGGAAGGAAAACATTCACGTGTTAGTTATTTCATCCCTTAACTGCTTTGTATGCTACTGGAAAACACATAGAACTGCTTGATGCAGAATGTAAAAAGATGTAACAGTTTCTTATTGTGTTGGGCATCTCAAAAACCATATTATCTTTTACATGTTTGTGTTAGCCTGCATCCAAACTCATGATCACACAAATTAAACAGCTAACAGAATAAAGTGACTGTCTTGAAGTCCTGCAATTATGGCCAAACCATTATCATTAACATGATGATTTCCCAGGCTTAAAGCAACTTTTTTTGGAGCACCAATTCCTTCTTCTTTCCGACGAGGCAAAAATTGATGCATATTCACACTAGAACATGTGATACATACTAATATGTAAGATGAAATTTTTGTGGACACATGCAAGACGAAGCATATCTTAACTACTTGTCAACAACAAAATTTGGATACCCTGACCTCTGCTGAGAAGACCTGTGAAAGACGTCTTCCATGACCTCCTTGAGAGCGCTGGAGATGGTCTTGCCTCGCTTGGCGTGCTGGTCAAACTTAGTCATCACTGCGGAGTGTGAGATGGTTTCCTAGGCAACAGTAACCATGGAGAGTCATTAACAGGATTATTGTTGTTGCCACTAATTTAAAATGAACTTTTGGTATCAATCCTTCTACATCTAATTGTATACACATTTTCCAATTTTAGTCTTATCTAAATGCCATACATTATACATTTTTATATCAATATAAATACATGTACATATTTGCATATCCATAATTACAGAGTCTGAATCAAATAGCTTAGACACTTTGGTTTTCATATACATGTAACAGTCCCATAGCCAGTCTTCAGCCAAAGGTCAGTATGATGAAAGTAACATCCACATGAACTTGTCTGTCACAACAGTGTGCCCGCTAACACTTACCTCAAATTTTCTTTCAAAGTTTTCAAACTCAAACAGTCTTGCTTGGAAGCCTTCCGCCAGGGCACCACCTAGAAAAACACGAAAACAACAGCTGCCAGTCTGATCAACTCATGCCAACTTAACTAAGGTGGATTGGCCTGTATCAGATATACATGTGTACTATAATCTTGTTAAGGGAGGTCGTGTCGAATATAACTTCAACAACTTACATTGTACATGTACTGACCTTCCTTGGGCAGTCCTATTTGTTTCTGCACCTGCTTAGATCAAAGGCTCACGTTCTATAGTCATGTAGCTCTTAGGTTTCAAGACTGCAGTGACCACTGCAGTGACCTTGACCTTATGATCCTGTGACCTTGACCCACTGACCTTCCTCGGGCATGCCCTGTTGTTTCTGCAGGCGAGACTGCAGCGCCTCCTTAGCAGACACAAAGAACACCCTGTCCTCCGCCTGCAGTCTGTCTACAACTCCCAGCTCCTCCACCAGGAAACTCACACAGCGCTCCAGGTGCTGTTTCTTCACCTGTACAAACAAACAAACAAACAAACATCAGACTCACGCACAACAAACTCACACAGCGCTCCAGGTGCTGATTCTTCACGTGTACAAACAAACAAACAAGCAAACATCAGGATCACTCACAACAAACTCACACACCCCTCCAGGTGCTGCTTCTTCACCTACAGGACACACAAACATCAGACTCACTCACAACAAACTCACACACTGTTATAAGTACATAAGTACTAAGTGCTGCTTCTAAAAAGTTGATGAAAGATCTAAGACAGAACACATCAATTTGTCTAGAAGCAATTTGTCGCATGAGCATATTTTTACCTCTGGCTATGGATGTATACTTTTGGGTGTGTTTATCTCTCTGTATGTGTGTTTGCTTCTGTCCAGAAGTATTTGAATACAGAAAGTTTGGTGAAAGATCTGGTTGCCATAAATTGGCCTTTGATTAAGTTCATCCACACAGTAACGGGAGTATACCTATTCTCGGTTTTCAACCTCCAAGGTTCCTGCTAGGTCCATTGAACTTATAGTTATATCAAAGTATCTCTCTCATAAGTATTGATTGATTGATTGATGGATTGATTGATTGATCAATTGGAAAGATGTAGAACTCACAGCCTCCATGAACTCAGGTTCACTGGCAGAGGCGTCCCAGCGGTTGTTGAGGATGAAGATGTTAGGTTTGGACAGTCGCTCGCTCACCGTGTGGAAAAAGTTCTTCTCCTGAAAACATAGAATTCACAAAGTCTGAGTATTACTCTTACTGTAACAGTAACAATTCTAATCTACCTATTCTAGGTGCATCTAGTACTAGTATGTATTGTATTGTACACTGTAACTTGGGCTACAGCGTTGTATTCTTAAAGTAGACCTTTCTTATCTGTCAACCACAATTATCAGTTCAACCAATGATAACATGACAATTAGCAGTTCAGCCAATGAGAGAGTGGCTACAAGTTGGAGAGTGGCTACAAGTTGGACAAGTAAGTGTGTTTTGACGGAGGTAGGTGGGTTTAGTCTATAGGAAAGGCCTGTTATGATCAAATAATTAACTAGTTCTTCTTCTTCTTCAGAACAACAGTACAATGTACGTAGTTATTGATTTATCCTTGCCAACATACAATTATAAATATATCATTAGTGAAATCTAATTGGCATGTATTCAAAGAAGAAAGAAACTAAACTACTGTTACAGTAGAAGACTTACCGTTCTCATGAGTGTAGACTCAGAGTTTGCCACCAACACAAACACATCTGCATCCAGACAGTGTTCATCTATCCAGCTGTCCAGGTCAGGGGTCACGTCTATACCAGGACTGGAGGGGAAGAAATACAGTCAACAAGGAATGTTTAGTCAAATACTCTATATGTCACACTCACAATTCTATCTATCTATGTGTCTATCCCGTAGTTGAGGCACACAGACAATCCAACGATCAGTTTTCTCCAACCTTCTCAAATTCTGTTCTTCTCAGTTTTGGTTAGTAGTAGTAGTAAGCCTTTATTTAAACTCGAAAGCTTGTTCCGTTACTCTACTCTAGTACCGATGATCTGATTCAGTTGTCAGTTTTTACTGTGACAGTTGTTTGTAGGTCTATGTATGGATATATGACTCACAATGCAACTTAGGACAACTTTTCAACATACTTGTAAAATTTAACTTAAAATTATTTAAGTGTTTAAGCTTTCTTTCTTTTACTCTTCCATCTTTCCTTCCTTTGTTACTTCCTTCCTTCTTTCTTAACTCAACCTGCATTGCAGAGGTAAGTTTTGTACATGTCCTCTGACTGACACAGATACAGCTGTCCCCCTCATGTCTCACCTGTCCAACAGCACGACATCGTCCCTCAGCAGCGCACACCTGCCCTTGGGCCAGAACACCTTCACCAGCACACTGCTGTCCTCCAGACGCTCCGAACACAGGGCATGGGCCAGCTGACCTACAGACTAGAGAATGAATGAATCTTTATTGCATGTTCTTGCCCAGATGGGCTAAATGCACAAGAGGATATCCAGTATGTAAAACATGAGTATTTCATACTGGTACACTATATTCTAACGCAAAGTGCTAGGAATCTATACATTACAATAATACTATAAACTACCTATCATCTACTGTTAGTTGCCCTTTCTTCTCTCTTTTTGAAACATTTGGAAACATAATTACATATTAGTTTGTCTACTGTACATTCGTCCTTGTATGACATCAAGTGTTTAAACATGTCCTGCTTTGACATTTTCTTACATATCTTGTCTAGTTGTAAAGTATTAAATAGCTCTTGGCATTCATCTTTATATAATGTACAGTCAAGTAGAAAGTGCATAAGTATCTAAAATATAAATCTACAATTTAGAAAGTTAAAATTTGCAAAGCAAATGCAGAATGTTTACTCTCACATGGTCTAGACTAAGAAGCTACTGCTTGTTCATTCTTACTCAAACACATCCATACATATTTTCTATAGTGACCAGCCCCTTCAACTCAGTCCTGCCACTTGCTACATAATGTAATCCAACACCACAGGGTGTCTGCTACAGCAACAGTTACCATGGTGAAAGACGTCTGGTCCTGTCATCAGAACTGTGAGCAGGTACACCTTGCAACTCTTGCTGGCTCCATGTAGTAAACAAACAAACAAAAAAGTCACCTGTACAGTTTTCTTGTCGTCAGACTCAGAGTCAGGAGTGAGCAGGTATGCCTCGAACAAGTCACTGAGAACGTATAATACACAAACAAACAAACAAACAAGTCCCACCTGTACAGTTTTCCTGTCATCAGAGTCAGGTGTGAGCAGGTAAGCCTCGAACCCATCACTGCCCTCCACGTTGATGAAACAGTTGGTGGTGTGTCCGATCCCGCTGGGCAGGATTTTATCCCTCAGCATGGCGTTCACTACTGTGCTCTTTCCATTACTTGTTCTGTAACAACATTGAAAACTACATGTAGTACTCTTCAAGTACAGGTTTCAGTTGAAGTTTGTTTCTTCATTTTTTTTATTGTATGTTCCCATTGTAGTAACCATTATTTCTTCCATTTTCTTCTTCATACTAGGGGAACATGGAAAGAAACAGAGAAAGAAATCACAGTCACTGTATTTGGAAGAGAATGTGATACTCCCCAACACAAGCTGAGGTTTGAACCATTTTTTTGGGGGGGAGGCTTTGCTTTGATTCTATGTTTCTCCAGTATTAGCCATAATTTCTTCCATTTTTCTCTCATTTACTACTAATACTAGTACATGAAAATGCACTGTCCTGGCCTTAAAAGGATATCACTCAAACAGTCACTCATATATCCTAAAAGAGATCAATTATCCAGTAACATGGCAAAATTTCGACATAGATTATTGATCAATGCTACATTGTATATGCTTTCCCAACTCAGGATCGATGTCATCCAGAAAATCAACTCTGCTTGGCCTGATGTACTGACCTGCCGAAAAACGCGACCTTCATCTTGTCCCGTGAGATGACCTGTGCGATCCCTGCGACCTTGGCCTTGTACTGCTCTACCTGGTTCACATGGTTCTCGTTAACGATCTCCAACCCATCGCACTTTGCATTGGATTCTGGAAAATTCAAACAGAGTCAACACACATTCTTTCAACATAATCATTGTAGGATTTGAGCTAACAAAATAAACTACAGTCAAAACTGCCCAGTTGCAACAAGACCACCCAGAGAACCGATCAAATTTGGTGACTTGAGACAGAATTCTTGAGGCTTGAGTGTCAATAAAAAAAATTATCGAAGAGGCAATAAAAAATGGTCACCACATTGTACTTCCTTATGTATGAGAGACGGTCAGTTGTACATGTACAGGTTTGGCTGTATTTCATTGCTGCATTGTACTGTATAGTGGATTTGGAACAGACTGCCTATATCTTAATTTTCAAGCAGATCCTCCGTTGACAAGGCCGCAGTAGCCATTGGCCAAGGAGTGACCACTTTGTGGCCAATGGATACATGCCTTGCCAGCGTTGCCACTGTAGGGTCTGCTGGGGAAAACCATACATGTATGTATTACGACACTTACAAATGTATATAGTAAGCGTGTTGGTCTATAAAAAGAGAAAAGTGACAGCATGAAGCAGTGGATTGTGTAGCAGTGGGCACGGTGAGAAAGAAGCTGTGAACAGACAGAGAAATTTCAATCAGACGATGAAGTCATGGCTGGTACTTACGGAAGTTTTCTGCAACTGCAGGAGGTGGTTAAGGAAGAGGAAAGAGAGACATTAGAGGTACAAAAGGGATACATGTACTAGTATAGTACATTGTATGTAGAGAAGGGAAAAAACAGCAGTTGTTGTGTTGTGATGTAATTGTACATTTTGTAATAACCACTACTGATTACTTTCCAAAGCTGGTGTGTCACATGGAAGGGTGGTAAGATTGGGTTTGAAATATCACCTGCATTCTGTATATATGATAATATGTACTAGTACTACATTGTAGGTGAAATCTATGTGGTGAAGAAATGGCTTCCAAACCAAGCCCCACTGGTTGATTCTCACAATTGTGAGCCACTCCTATGAAACTACTTGTTTCTTCACTGAAAAGATTTTTTTAATGAAATGTATGTGGATACAACAACAACAACAACAAATTTCAAACTTGAGCAACCAACAATGACTGGCCATTGTAAACTTGTGCAACCATACATCATAAGTTATTAACAAGCACAATCAGCTCATTCAGCTGGCATCAACATTGCAATCAATGCATCACACATAGAAATTTTACTTTGTCTAGGAAACTTGGCAGAAAAGGGAAGGTGCTATATATATATATATACTTATATATCAAAATCTTACCTTTCAGAAAGTCAGAACTTTCGTCAATGTACCCAGAAATCTGCTCAAATATGCCATTTATTCTCTTCTTTGCGGTGACGAAGTGTTTGAGCGGGGAGCCGGGGTCTTTATCAGAGGTTTTCTTCTTCTTCTCAGCTCCGAGCGAATGCATGGGTGTGTTCACTGTGGAGATGGACCGGATCAGACTTCCAGACATGGCAGGGCTAGGGCGCAGGGGTGCAGAAACCTGTAAATAAACAATAAATAAACAAACAAACAAACTTTGGACCTGATCAGACTTCCAGACATGGCAGGGCTTAAGGACGTTAAGGTGAAAACCTGCAAAATAAACAATAGATGATCAAACAAGGTTCCGAGCCAAATGCAAGGCATATCTTATTACCCGGATGTCTAACCTTCAACGACGTTTATGTAAGTACATTATTAGTAGTACATGTATATCTGTATATCTGGTATAACTGCCCTTCAGCGTAACATACCAGCTATCAAAACACAATGTATATAAATATATCCTTTTTATATGTAACTGTAATTACATGTAATGTTGTCTGAGTAGATTAATAATTCAATTTCAATAGGATATATTTTGGGTGTCTGCAAGTGGGAATCAAAAGAATTACTGGTCAACCTAAAATCATCCCTGATGTAGCAACCATGGGCAGTACTACATGTAGAAATCTAAACGTTGTTAAATGCCCCCCACCCCACCACTTGTGACACCAGACGCCCTTGCCCTTGGCGTTGCGACGTCATAACACGCAATTTTACCCTTCAGCAAATCAACAGCATATCTGTGATAGTGCTAGGTTGTTTTTGTTTGTAATGGATGTTCAAAACAGACGACGTATAAGGACATACGCACACGACTTTGGGTACAAGAACCTCCGTTTGCCAAAAATGTAAGTAGGTCGAAGCCGTTAGGCACATGCCTTTTTCTTTTTCGGGCACGTCACGTAACACAGGAAGAACATAAACAACAGTAATTTAGTCTAAATGAAAAGATTGACATGATCAGTAAACATTAACGGGCAATGTATCTGCGTACTTTGACTCACCGATTCTGATTTGTGATGTTATGACGATGAAAATTTGTTCTTCGATCTTGTTCACCGGATTTTTTTTCTAAGCTGCCGCCATCTTGGAAGTGGGATGTTCTATTCAGTAACAGGGGTGATTTGTGCGAACCACGCCCTGCAGTTCTTACATTTTCCGCCAGATGTCGTCACTGAGTGGTGATTTCCCACGGTCTTACCATGACGTCACCATCTCCGTGAGCCAGTGTCATGTGATACTGTGCCTGTTCACAATAACACCACCATGCTAAATCAAACCGCACAACAATAAAACCTCATTGGTTGTTATACAGAATTTCTGCAGTAGTAAAATAGAAATTTATAACTATGATATAATATTTAATGTTAGAATATATGAACAGTGATCCAGAATAACGCATTTAAAAGGAAAACCTAGATGGAACTATTTTCTGTTCTGCCTTATTGCGTCACTCCAGTGACGCAGCACCACAACAAAAGCGGCCATCTTTGCCAACAGGAAGCAGAGGAAAAAGAAGTGGGAGTCTGACCAAAAACACTTAGAGTTTTACCTGTCAAAATGAAGTGGGAATACAAGGACGAGCATCCTTTCGAGAAGCGGAGAGCCGAGGGAGAGAAGATCAGGAACAAATACCCCGACAGAGTTCCGGTAAGCTCTATTTTTGTGTCAAGGTCTTCAGAGATATTTTGGTGACCGATCCTCCAGTTGTGACCAGCTGCCATTTTTGTGTTGCAGTGTTTGTTGACGTGTCCTTTTGTTTTTCACCTCGATCGTCCTTTGCAAACTTCTCTGAATCCATTTATAAATGTCAGACATAGGCTTTTACGCAGAATAGAGGCAAAACGGGAGAATATGTGTCGCGTATTCGCGGGAAAAATATTGCAGTATGTGACGTAACTTGTTTTGTTTACGTTGTTGTTCTAGCTAAGTATGGCAGATTTTTGCAGCGGTTTTTAGGGCATGTAACGTTATACCAATACCAAGATATCTTTGTGCACCAGATTGATCATGTTTTATGGTTGATTTCTTGATATTCCTTCAAATTAAAGCATTTAAGGGGTGTGTTGTGTTCTATTTCTGGCTATCAGAACTGGGCCTATCCCTTTTCACAGGGCAGGCCTTGTCCTTTGTTTATTTGCTAACTGATGCTCCAAATCTTGCAGTGCTTTGTTGTTTCACTAATTAACGATCAGGTCACAGCGTCCCTGCTCTCTATGTTGGATGAATATTGTGTTTCATTCAATCAAGGTATCCATTCTGTAGTTGTTGCTATAAATACCATCCCACAGTGACTGTCATCCAATCAACATACATGTACTACATACACAAGTTTAAACCTTAGCATCAAATTGGACTGTTCCAAAAATGTAGAAGGGGTTGAATAGATCATCACAACCATATTTTTTATGCCCCCATCCCCATCTGATCCAGATTTCTTTTCTACGACCTCCTTTCCTATCTGATCCAAATTTCTTTTAGTTTTACCCAACCCCTCCGATGATTCAGATTTTTTTTGAAGGCTTTGTCCAAAATTATCCAACCTCACGACCCCTGTCCATCTTTATTTTTGGAACAGCCCAATAGGTTATTACAATAATTGATCCACAAAAATGCTGACATCATCTTATTTGCATATTTATCAAAGGTGGCAATAAATGTTAAAATAACAAAAGTACAAAGCATCACATTGCTTTGGGTGGGAAAACTGGACTAGATCATGATTGTGGTATTGTTCATGTGATTGTGAAGATGACCTTTCTGTCCCCACTTGTTTATTGGCTAACCAGTGTAACCACATTTGGGTGTAACACCAACCTCACAGACACAGTGCTGACTATTAGTGCCTACAATTTTAACCTGCAAGTTATGAAGTTAAAACTCTGCATTTCTGCCTTACAGTAATTGTTTAAAGCTATTTGATGATAATTCTAATTTCTAAATGATAAAACCATAAGTGGTCCTTTACAGTAAATATAGTTCAAGGGAATAACACTTCTTTAATACATGAACACATCTGAAATTGGTAAGACTAAACTAGAGTTATTCTTGTTCTTTTCTTCATTTCTGGGCTGCCATAATCAAGATTATCTTCAAAATGGTCCAGATTGGACAGTTTATTTTGTCGGAGAGTATTAGTTTCGTTTCGTCGAGTGTCTATGATTCACTAATACGACAAACAAGATTTCACACTACGCTTGTTGTGCATCATGTGGTGGTGACTTGAATGTAGCGTGACCATTGGGTGCCTTACTGGCCTTCTGCAAATATCCAGAGTTTGTTCTTACTCTGTTTGTTTTGGGTGTTGGTCACTGATAAGGATCACAACATGGTGTTATTCAAAGGAATAGATTCTAAAATGTAAGCTGTAACAGTATTAAAGGTTCTTGATTTTATTTGTATCATCACTATGATGTAAGGAGAAGGTTTTGATGTATGATGTCTTGTGTTATTTTGAAGCACAGTACAAGCTTATGTTGCAAGAAAACTACTTTTTCTGTGTCATTATGGGATCTAGTAAAACCACATTATTTCCCCTCCCTTGGGACAACATTGACAGATTGTAGGTACCTTCCCTTCCAAACAAAAGATCATTCCACAAGAAAGCCTGCAGGGTAGGTTACAGTTTACTTCACCGTGAGGGTTTACAGTGAACGATGTTGGACCATTTGGTACTTGTAGAATGCATGAATGGGACTGCTATCAAGGACCAGTAAAAACCTTTCAGATGCCTTCCATAGTTCTTAGTGTGAGACCACACCCTGGCATATTAGAACTAGCCTCTAAACCACCCATCTAGCTCTAGTAGTCACCCCTCTTTAGATAGAGACACTAGAACTAAGTAGAAGACAGTATAGCAATGTATTTTGTTTGGGCCAATTTGTATCCACTCTGTCTTTGGTTATGCTGCTTATTTTGATGGCCAGTAGGTTCAGTCTACATGTATTATTCATTTATTGTACTATGTTGTACATGTAGAACTTACCTAATAAACTAATGACACCTATATTTGACCTAATGACCTGCCATTGTTCCATCTGTTGTTCCAGGTGATTGTAGAAAAAGCCCCCAAGGCTCGCATCGGAGACCTGGATAAGAAGAAGTACCTGGTTCCTTCAGATCTCACAGGTAAGCTTTAAGGAAACAAGTTTCCTTTCACCATGTCTTTTGTTAGATATATTATAACTCAAAGGTCAAATCATGCAAGGTCAAGGAAAAATACTCAGTGTAACATTCAAACTGCATATGATATATTTGCATGAAAGCACAGTGCCTGATTGGATTTGGTATGTGATGTTCAAACATTAGATAATTGTTTGCAGTTGGTCGGGCCTTTATTGATTCTATACGTCTGCTGTTTGTTCTTCAGTTGGTCAGTTCTACTTCTTGATTCGGAAGCGGATCCACCTGCGTCCAGAAGACGCACTCTTCTTCTTTGTGAACAATGTCATTCCCCCCACCAGTGCGACCATGGGCTCCTTGTACCAGGTAAGGGAGACATGCCTTCAGATTTACATAGTTGCATTGTATTTCAGCCCTAAGGAAGTGATTTCAATTGTTATTATGGGCTTGTTTACATGTACAGTGTGTGTGTATACATCTGTCAGTGTGCATGCACATGTGAACATGTATATGTGTGAATTTGTATACGAGTGCGTATTCACGATTCTGTCATTGTATGCATGTGTGCACTTGTTTTTTATTCATTAGCTTACAGAATACAGCATTGCCATACATTTACAGTGTGTGTGCATGTTTGTGTTTGTGTTGGATTCCCAACATACATACAATGCAATGCATCACTCCCCAGTGTTCCTATTTGAAGTTTGCTATCTCTGACCGCCGTGTTGTTTTATTATCTATTCCAGGAGCATCACGAGGAGGATTTCTTCCTGTACATAGCCTACAGCGATGAGAGTGTTTACGGCATGTAGGCAGCCGCCCCTCAAGTCACTCTTAAGACACACGCTAAGCAGGGCTTACCACTGCTTAAGAACATTAGCATAATAACACCATCTTCTTTAAGAAATTCTCTAGGTGTAATATAAGAAAATCGAGCTATAAAAAATCTTGAGAAATTTGCCGCGTCGTAGAGAGATATTTGCTGGATTTGTGTATGACTCTGAGAACGGCTGAAGTTTTTTTTTGCTGAATATGTATCTGGTTTTACATAACACTTTCCCTTGTATAAAACTTGTGTTTCCGCTTTGTTTAATCGTGTAGATCAAAAAAATAAAAAGAGTGGAGTAGAGAAAAATGAGAAAAGGGCAGTTTGTTATTTGAGTATGAGAATTGTATTTGGTTTTAGTTTTAATTGGGGACTGCATTGTAGTTTTGTCATAAAACTGAACTTGCTGGAGCACGGATGCTTTGGTGAACAAGGGTTAATCTTGGTATTTGTAGGTAAACATATTTATGAACCAGTAAATAAACTTTTATGTAATATGCATTACCCATTTCTGTAATAGTAATATCTGGGAGGGCACTTCAATTTTTTTCATTCAGTAAACCTCAAGTTGACAGTTTATGCTCACAAACGATTTGAATACCTGCTTTTGCCTCTGATTCTGTTGAGTTGCAGTATAAACTCTCTTATTACAATATTTTATTGTTATAATAACTTAAATAAAACACAGAAGGGTGTAAAGGACACTTTGGTGACACGTATCAATAAAATCACGTGTACATAGATGTGGTGTGCTTGTGAGAGGTGCTGTGTTATGTTTAAATTAGTAATGGGTAGAGAATAAAAACACACACACCAGAAGGAAGAACACTATACAGTTTTCACCACAGTTGATGATATTTATATTCTAAAACAGTGGAACCCTGAGTATCTGACCATATATGTACATACAAATGTACTAAAAATGTACATTGATGGCTGTATAGGCAGTGTACAAGAAACATATAACTGATAATTTTTCACCAGTTGGCCAAGCAGAGTTAATGCTAAAAACATTTTGTACTTTACCTTTCCTTCATTCTCTTGGTGGTTAACAGAAAATATTTTTTCTACTATCCACTAAAACAGTTTCTCTGGCAAGGACATATTTTTACTTACAAGTGGGCACTGAAATTTTCATGTACAAAATCTTGATTATTTGCCTCGTATTTCTTAGTCAATTGCTCAATTTTTGTCCCTTTTTCTCAGACATAGGACTGGTCTTCCATATAGATTTCCTGTTAACTGGCCAAAATTCATGATTCACAGTCCTTGTAACAATTCTGTAACAAGTAGCCAACCCAACCCGATCAGAAAATATCACAGTTTTACTTCACATGGCCAAGGAATAAGGCAAAGGAACTACCAGTAGTACACACTTTCTTAAATTTCTTCACCAATTTTACATGTACATAAAACATTTTGCAAAGTCATTTTTGCATTAAATAGAAAATTCACTGACAAACCTGAATATATACAACTAAAATACTTGTTATAATCATCACATTGATAGTTTACAATCAACAATAATACTAGTAATTGGTTTAAAACTTTTAAATAAAAAACACCTGAAATATACATAATACAGTCCTCTGGTACACTAGGTAGTTCAAAATTTGACACCATTTGCTACATAAATTGGCAAGACAAATAATATGGTTTCACAAACAAATCTTTCTATCTGTATTATCATAGATTTTCAGTTAAATCTTGAGTAAGCTTTAGAACCTGCACTCTGATTACATTGAGAAGTCTTCAAATTTTCACTCCTATTACAGGTTAAGTACTGTTTGTCTCTCAATGTGAGAAGTTTTAAAACCTTACAATTCTCTTATACAACTCTAACTTACTCTAAACGATTCAGTGGAATGGACTACAAAATGTTTAAAGTTTTTGCAACAAGCTTTTAGGACGGTTACAAGTATTGCCTCTGCAAGAATAGGGGTGCCTAGTAAGAATTCAAACAGACTTTTCAGACTTTGTGAACCATCCTGTTACAGTACTTTTGAGAACAACCCTTACCAAATTGCTGGACCACTGCATTGTTATGTGCTGGTTTAGTGACTTAGCAAAGTTGCTTCCCAGTACTACATTGTATTCACTGCCAGTAAAAAATCTGTAGAATACTCACAGGCAACCCTGAAAAAAAAAGGTTTGACTGGCCCCACCACACCACAATATATAGTTGCAGCACCCTGGCAAGTTCATTAATGTATACAAAAATACCTATACTGGTAGACACTTTTAGGAGTCAGCTCTTTCTCTACTCGACTTGGTGTAATCATCTGATATGGAAATGCCACAAGACTGGATCACATCCAACTTGCAAACCTGCCACGATGCTGAAGCCAAGGCCTGATGTGAACAGGAAGGATTTCATTGAATCTGATTAGAGTATGATGAAGATGATTCAATGTGTTCTACAGCTCTGAGTTGTTGAAAAAGCCTCTGGCTGCAGTCAGTCTTCCTTCATTTCGTTCCACCCTGTCTTCTTCCCCACAAGCAATCTAAGCTCTCAGTCTCAGCGTTTCTGCGAAAACCTTAGATTTCCTGATCCTTTGTTTTGTACAGTGTGGACTTGATGAAACTTTTAGTTGTGTCGTTAAAGAGGTTCATCAGTCACGTAGTATTAACAGTTAGTAGAAATTTTTCGATCAGTAACTGTATTTTTGTAAGAATTCGTAAGGTACGTAATCTACCTTACAAAAATACAGTCACTGATCGAAGAATTTCTACTAACTTGTAGTTGTGTGTTCTCAGTACGTGGAGTTATCTAGGTCCTCCTCTGTCCCAGGTGAGTAGTTCATCTGACTCAGGTAACTGTTTAAGATGGGTGAGGAGTGGTGGTAAGGTGTGCCCAGGTCAGGCTGCCCATCTAAGATGTGTGAGCTGAGAGATGTGCCCAGACCACTGCTGGGGCGCGCCGAGACAAACTCTGAGTCCAACGACTGGGGAATGGACGTCAGGGATCTGGTGATGGCCTGGAAGAAACATTTTGAAAATCATTTCAATCAAGTAATAAATGCTTTTGTGAATGTTGACATATTTCTATTATCTGAGTGTTAATTTCTTTTTGTTTTGTTGTTAGGTTGGTTGAAAAGAAAAGAAAGAGCTTTTATTCTGAATACAGATTTAGTGTATATATAAGTTGGGAATGTAAAAGGCAGTGGAAGGGGAGGGATGTGCTATGCTTTTCAATACCCGCTGCCTCTACAGGTGGTCCTTCACATGGTCTAGCCCAACAAAATGGTGCTCTGTTTATTCTTACTCAAACACATTCATTATTGATTATTTATTACATGGTGTGACCAGCCCCTCCAACTCTGCCCTGCTACTTGCTACATAATGTGAGCCAACACCACAGACTGTCTGCTATAGCACCAGTTAAAATGGCAACAGCCTTCTGATCCCGGTCATTGACCTTGTTTGTTTGGGATGGAAGAAGAAGAAAAAGAGTAAAAAACAATATGATTTCCTCCTGCGAAGGTAAACATGACAAACCTCTCTCTGTTTCTCTATCCTGTAGTCGCGCACCAGTCTGTCCAGTCTGTCCTTCTGTCTGTTCAGGTTGTCCAGTCTCTCCTGCATCTGGGAGTTCTCCTGCTCCAGGAACCGACACCGGTACTCTGTCGATGACACAGTCCTCTTCATGTCACGTACACTTTCATCTGCCTCTGTCAATCTGAAAGGAAAAGAGGGAACAAATGAATGAATGGACAAAAAGAAGTAGCAGCCCACATTGCTGGTCTAGCGGTATTCCGTTGAAGACACTGTTCGTTTCATGTTATATACACTTTCATCTGCCTCTGTCAATTTGAAACAAAAGTCAACAATATATTAAGGTTAATCTAAAGACAGAGAGAAGGAACACACTCGTCTGGTGAATGGATATGTGAGTTCTCTTGCTCATGATTCTGAAAGGAGATGTTAACCTTGATACACACAGCTTGAAGAAGTAAAATATGTTATACCTGAGATTCCAGCTTTCCTCCTTCCGTCTTCCGTTTACATCTTGACGGCTTGCTAAATTTTTTTTTTCATTCAAAATATTGGCATAGCAACAATTTAAAAAATATCCCCCTTTCTTGTCTCCACACATACCTGGTTAACAAGTCTCTCTTGTCCTGCAGGAGTTTCTTGTGGTCAGCGTCCAGACTTTTCTTCCAGTCCAGTTCCCTCTGTAGCTGGGACTTCACTCTGCTCAGCTCCTCCTCTGTCGAGTGGACCGCTTCTTCTCTCATCCCCTTCTCTCGCTGGATAATGTCCCTTAAACAAAAAAAAAAAAACATACAAACATCAGTCGGTTATATCTGGTATAGACTGGACTACTTCTTCTCATATCCCTTTCTCTCATCGGAGAATGCCCCTTCAACAAACAAAACAAACGTCAGTGGGAGATTTACTTTCCAACTTCTTACAGTTTTCTTCTGATATACACTGTTACTTCTTTTGCTGTATGATTGTCTTTTAGATTCTTTTTCTGGCAAAATCAACCCAAACTGAGACTGAGAGATTTAACCTTTTTTATCACCAAACTGCAATGTAAAAAAGTGACATTTCAAAGAAACTAATTTAAAATTGAATGATTATCAGAAAACCATGATTGCGTTCCTTTGCTGACTTTTTTCAGCTTCTTCTTAAGATGTCAAAATTACAAGACATTGAGAGAAAATATATCTCAGATTCCATGGCCTTACTTTGCCCTGTTAATCTTGTTCTTGTACTTGAGCTTCCTCTGGTCGTATCTCCTGATCTGCAGGTCAAGTTTACTGGTGGCCTCCACGAGCTGCCGCTGCAGGGTCTCCACCTCCTGCTGCAGGGTCTGCACCTGACGCAGCATCGCCTGTTTACCCAGCTCAGACAGCTGGTGCTGCAGTAAACAAACAAACAAGTAAACAAGCAGGGTCTAGAGAGCAAAACGTTGTGTGCAAGTGTACATGCAGCTATCCATTGTAATGTGATGGTTGACCAAGTGCACTCTTTTAATTTGTGTATAATACAAGGACATGGTGAATTTTATGACTGTATTACAGTATTAGAGAACCATAGTAGGACCATCAGTTTGAAGTGTTTTATGATTTCTACTCACTTTTCCTGAAGACTGTTGTGAAATGCATGGAATGATTGTAGAGGCAGAAAAGATAAATATTAACTTTGCATTAAAAAAAACTAGTACCCAGATCCAGATCTAGATTCAACTCCTTCTCAAATTGAAACTATTCTTCCTCAGGCTTAGGCCAAACCACAAGGAAAGCATATCACAATTCATAACATAACAGGACAAAACAGTCTACCTGGCAAAAACATAACTGTTACAGTAACATTCTAAAGACTGTAAAAGTTTGCCATGCCTGCAAAAAAAATAGCTCATTTTTTCCTGTCATGACCTTGACCTAACATTTACATGACCTTGACCTGGTACATGAATGACCTTGACCTGACATAAGAACGACCTTGACCCACCATGTCTGCCACAGACTTGTTCTCCTCGTCCACTGACATGACCTTGTGCTGCAGTTTAGAGTTGGTGACCTTCAGCCTCGCTTCCATGTCCCTCAGCTGACCCAGCTCCTGCCGCGCGCTCTCCAGCTGCTGGTCTGTCCGCACCCTGTTGCCATAGCAACATAAATAACAATTTCATCAATGTTACAGCAGCTATGGCTATGGCTTAAAAGCCTGCCACACGTACAATGTACATGTACCTTTCCCATGCCACTGTGACCTATCTTTCTACACAAATTTAATAGAATTTCAGTTACATGTAGATTTAGTCAAATTTGACCCCTAGACATGCCCCAAACACTGCTGAGCAACTACTACAGACAAAAAAGTGCTTTTCCGACCTGTCCATCTTCTCTTCTTGAAGCTGTCTCCTCAGGGCTGAAAGGTCGTTGTTCTTCCTCTCCAGTTCGTCCTTGGACCTCCTGGCCTCCTCCGCCACTCTCTGCAGTTTATACTGAGCTTCCTTCACCTGTCAATCAAACTGTGGGGTTAGCCAGGAACCCCTGTCATATTTAAACACTGTCAGCCTAATCATATCAGGACTCAATCCAACACAAAGAATGGTTTTCTGTGTTGATGTCACACCTCGCACTTCAGAGAAGCCACGTGACAAGCCTCACTGGGTGACTATCTACTGAGGAAGGATTCAGAGAGGGAAGCTCTAGGTGAGAAAAATTCTTTGTCTTGGAACAAAAGTTTTAACTTTGAACACTAACCTGTCTCTCAGCCTCCTCAGCTCGAGTTCTAGCTGTCTCCATGTTCTCCCTGTTGCTGCCCTGTCTGCTCTTGTACTGGAGAAAATGACATACAACAGGCAGGCAGTTTAGTTTATCAGGCAGGCTTCAAGGGTACAACCAACTTACATTAATCCTGGAATTGTTTCAAAGATCTAGAGATTTTTTTCCAAAGAATCTTGAGATTTTTTCCAAACAGTCGTGATATTTTCAAAATTCAGGGTTTTTTTTTTTACAAAATTTGAGATGTTTTCACAAAACCTTGTGATTTAAAAAAATTGTTGAGATTTTCTAAAACAAATTTTTCTGATGATGTTCTCACCATGTCTAACTGCTGCTTGAGTTGGTCCCTCTCTGACTCTGCACGTGAAGATCTCTCCAAACCCTCCTTCATCTGTCCCCAGACCTGTTCATGAACAGACAGTACTCATCACTTTATCACAAAATAAGGCTAGCATAAAAATGCATCCATGACAGTGGACAGTGTTAAGTCCTTTCCTTCAATAGAATTACAAATTATGACCCAAGTCAACAAATTTGTTACAATATTATTGACTCTTTTTTGCTGTTATTTATACAATGTATGAGAAGAATTCTATGGAGGGTTATTACTTAATTCAAGAAGTGATATGACTTGTGGAATTATGAACAATGTGAATTAGTGGCAAAGGCAACACAAAGTTCATTTTTATGAATGACATCGTAATGTGTCTGATGTAAATCAGGGAATGTGACGGAAAATTTCACAATAACAGCGGTGCAACACCAATTTGTAAAAACTCGCATATTCTAAGCCAAGCACACTGGATACTCCTTATAATTACATGTAAATGTACATTGTACCTCTTCTCAAAAAGTTCACTGTGTTCTTTTACATACATTTGACACCTAAGACTAATAGCCCATTTACTATATAGGGCACATCCCTGTCCAAAATAACAAAAAACTGACCACAATCAAATGTGACTTTACAATATTTCTGTAACAGTTGTAGATGTCATTCATAAATTTAAGACCAACTTTGCACAGCCTTGCAGACGTGATCACTGGTTAACTTTAATATCATTAACTGATGGTTAATATTAACAACTCACCACACACAAGAGAAGAGAGATCCATGGAGATGTGGGTTGTGTTATATGGGGATGGAGAGGACATGTGGGGTGGAGGGAAGGCAAGAGGACATAAAATAACATGAAATGTTGTATCATGGTGATACTAAATCTTATGTAAAATAATGCTTTACCATGCAGTAGTAGTCAGTTAGCAACAATGCCAGAATTTGTAGTGTTCAATTTTGGCAAGCAGTTAATACATAGTATTTACCACAATATTTAATAAACTTTACTTTCTTGTTTACTTTCTTGAGTTTTAAAATTCTCAACAAATATAATGGCAAACAATTTTTCCTGAATAGAATTTTTTAAATTTGCCTAATAGAGAAACATTTTAAATTTTTGTAATGAGAATATTAGAGCCCTGAAGACACAGCCTGCCTGAACACCCCAACTACTATGCCCCAACCGGATAAGATGGCTACCAGGCTATGAGAGTCTTGTAAGGACCTCCCCTTAAGTTCCACCTAAATTTACCTTTGTGACCTCCTGTTCCAGCATGTTGTTCCTGTCCTCAGTGTCCTGTCTCAGACGTTTCTCTGCCTCCAGTTTAGCCTGAAGTGAGGAGGTGTCAGACTGAACCCTGCCTGCCTGAACATGGGCACTCTGCAGCTCCTGGGGACAGAAACCATTGCTTTCAGTTTCCGTCAATTGTTACATCTGGTAGGTAAAATTACTGGTGAACAACCAAGCTACAGTGCAATGTAGAACCAGTCGGTATTGCCCTGAGGAAGGTTTTAACTTTAAACAAGAGAGCTACATGCTGTATCTTAAGTATAAATAATAGGCATTTTCCTTTGGATAACATATAAGTTTATACTAGACAAGTCTATCAATAATGTAAATCAATCATATTTCCTGATATTTCATATTTCATGAACATGTAATGAAAAAACTATGTACAGTAAAAAAATGCAACAGTGACTAAATTTGAAAATAATTGTCATACCTCAGTGTATGTTGATTAAAAGTTGATACAGTTTCCAAAACTGTAATGTGTCAATAAATCTATTTTATTCTTGGTATAAAGCTGAATTCTCGATTCAATGAATTTTCTTTTTATCCCAAAGATGATTGATTGATTCATTGATAGATCGATTGATTGATTGATGGATGGATGGATCGATTGATTGATTGATTGATTGATTGATTGATTGATTGATTGATTGATTGATTGATTGATATAAAACAAACCTGGTTCTTATTGTCCAGCTGACTCCTGAGAGACGCACACCTTGACTCAGCCTCCTCCAGCTGTGACTGTACGGAGCTGGTCTCCAGTTTGGACCGGCTCTTCTCCCTCTCCAACTGGGACTGAAGGTCAGCGACTTCAGACTCCAGATGGGACTGCATAATGTAAAGAAGTGTTTAAGTTACAGTAACTGTAAATCTTGAATTGTTCACAGTGCCTTTATTTTTACAGTGACCTATTCACTGAGTTGAAGTGTAGCCATTGAGTGTAGTTGTAGTGACATTACTCAGGACTATAGCTACAGTAACTACACTTACTCTAAAGTATCACTTGATGCACTTCTTAAATACAGGAATAAAAGACTTGGCTGTAATACAAGGATTGGTTGCTTCAATAATTAATGAATGCTACAACTTTTATGGTCTCTACTTTGAAATTTCAGGCACCTTGCTATTTTTAATGCTCTCCAAAGATGTCACAACCCATAAAATCACTTGCTGCATGTGGCCTTGATGAAACAACAAACAGAAGATACGTGTACACACCAGTTTGTCCCGTGTTTCGTCCCTCTGCTCCAGTAGCTGTCCGCTCAGACGGCTGACCTGGTCCCGTAGGTTTGCCGTCTCCCGCCGAGCGTTACCCGCCCGCTCTGTCGCCTCCTCTAGCTGTGTGGACAGGTCTGCACAGGGACAGGGACACAGACATACATGATGTACATGTAGAAAAGTATGAACTGGTCGACATACATGTTTTACTATAATTCTACAAAATTTAATATCTCTCCAGAAAAGAACAAGAAATAGTCATGGCTTCACGTATCACCATTACCAACCCAGGATTACAGTGTAACAGTTCAATCAAAAGATGTCACTTAGAACTACCATACAGTGGTACCAACTACTGCTTGCAGCTACATTGTTGTAGATTGATTTAGTGCCACCTGTAACCACCTGTTACAATGTTACACCTGTGTCACCTGTAACCTCCTGTTACAATGTGCCACATCTAACCACCTGTTACAGGGTTACACTTGATACATGTAACCACCTGTTACAGTGTTACACCTGTGTCACATGTAACCACCTGTTACAATATTACACCTGTGCCACCTGCAACGACCTGTTACAATGTGCCACCTGTAACAACCTGTTACAGTGTTACACCTGTGCCACATGTAACCACCTCTTACAGTGTTACACTTGCTACATGTAATACATGTAATCCACCTGTTACAGTGGTGCACCTGTCACAAGTAACCACCTGTTACAGTGTTACACATGTGCCACCTGTGACCACCTGTTACAATGTTACACTTGCTACATGTAATCCACCTGTTACAGGGGTACACCTGTCACCAGTAACCACCTGTTACAGTGTTACACTTTTGCCACCTGTGACCACCTGTTACAATGGTGCACCTGTCACCTGTAACCACCTGTAACAGTGATACACTTGTCACATGTAACCACCTGTTACAGTGTTACACTTGTCACATGTAACCACCTGTTACAATGTTATACCTTCACATGTCACCTGAAACCACCTGTTACAGCCTTACAGTGTTCCCACACCTGTCACAAGTAACTCACCTGCATTGACATTTTTCTGCAGTTGCACTGTGTCCCTGAGGTCATCACATGACTGCTCTGAACTGGCAAGCTGCAACAGACACAATACCAGGTTTATCAGAATTCAATAATCATCAATAATATGTCCTTTTACTGTAAACAGCAACCATTTCCAGCACAATAAACTTCACTTTGTGCGGCACAACCATCTGATAACCATACATCAACAAAGTACTGCATGTTGGGGTAAAATTCTGTATGGGGACTAATTTTAAAAGCCTTCTTTGACAAAAATGTATAGTATGCAACATAATGATCATAATCATCAACAATATTAAGTACAAACCTTTTCCTCCAGATGCTTGTTTGTATCCTCCAGTAGCTGACTGGTCCTTTTCAGACCCTCCCTCTCTGTCTCCATACCCTGTAGTCTGGCTGAGAGCTCCGACACCTGGACAAAATAACAGAAAGTTTGAATCTTAGTTACTGTAGAGAACAAATTAACGACCATTAGGTTCAGTGTAAATACAAAAAAGAATACAAATCCTAAGTATCCATACAAGAAAACAAAGGCACTGAAATACCAAAACCTTTACCTTAAGTTTACAATTATAATATATAACTTAGATCCTACTACAACTGAAGTATTATACTGGTGGACAAACACCAAAAACAGACCATGAAAAATTCAATATGTTCTAATCATAAAATGTAGAATGAATGAGGATAAAGCAAATTGCAAAACTTCATAAATTCAAAGGATCAAAAAACAAAGGCGTCCCTGGCCCACCCACACTGCCAAGAGCTGGACTCACAATGTAAGTTTTTCTCTCACAGTTAACAACTCCAGAAATAAACAACATTCCTGCCAAAACAATGCTGTTCTACCTGTTTGTTTAACTGTAAACACTTTCTCATAGTGTGTTACTGTACACAGAAGTGATGACTACAAGACTTAGTAAACAGTACTTAGTACATATCCTGAAAAGCAAATTAACTGTCTAAGGCCATTTTGGGTTGAAATATTAACCCTAGCCTTCTGTGGAAAAGTTTCAGAATTCACCCCTAACTGTTCATGCCTAAAAATGAAATTTTAAGGCAAACAATTATGTTAAAATCTATCAAAATTATAAATTAAACCTAAAATCAATTTTTGATTTACAACTAAATTTATGATCACGATGTTGATTCTTGGTAATCAAAATCCCATTAATTTGTTTCGGAATCCATGAACAACATTAGATTGCAGAAGTTGAAAGGTGAAAGGTTATGAGTTGAAGGTGACTGCTGGTTGTCTAGCACGTCAGCAGAACGTACTGCACCTGCGCGAAACCCGTAATGTATTGTACATAGCATTTTGGCAGAATGTCTCATATAAGGTTGTATTCGCTCATATAAGGTTAGCATTTCGACAGTAGTTTCCAAATTTTGTTTCGAACGAAATATCCTCTGCAACAGGAAAAATTCTGATGCAACGTTGACCAAAAACCCAACGAAAAACACGAAAATGCGGAGTTCTGCGCAGGCGCAGTACGTTCTGCCGACGTGCTTGCTTGTCTGACCTTGTCTCCCTGGTCATGTGACTTGTGTTGGATGTGTAGCAGTTCTTTCTCCCGATTGGCTGCCTCCAGGGCCAGCTGAGCTTCTCTCGTCTCCTTCTTCTGTTTCTCCACTTTGCTCTGCAGCTCCTGAAGTTACGGAAAAAAATCAATAAAATTTCAATCCAATTTACTAAAATTGATAACATTAGTCCTGCCCCCTGTACTGTAAATTGTGAAATATTTGTGACGTTTTTTTTTACAGCAATGCACCACAGAAAATTTGCATTATGGTTATTTCAACTAAAAATTTGCATTATGGTTATTTCAACTAAAAAAAACAACAACAGAAAACCCCTTTCCCTCCACCAGGAAAATAAGGTACGAAAATCTTTTAATTTACATCATTGCAAAATTAGGATCAGATAAAACTACTGAACATTAACTGTCAAGTCACATGTCAGAGCATTTCAAGGTGATTTGAACCATTTTCTCCTGCTGAAACTGTGACTTGAGATCGTCCAAGTCTCTCTGCAGCTGTTGTCTGTGTTTGGACTCCTCGTAAGTCTTCTCCTGTAGTAATGTCTTCTCTGTCTCTAAGGAGTTCACCTGAAGTTAAGACAGTAAAATATGAGTCACTCTTCTCTTGTTGCAGCATCTTTTCTGTCTCTTAGATCACCTTCAAGGAGAGTAACAACAGTTACTTTAAAATACATTTAAACAATATAGCATTTAGACTGATGGTTTTATTTCATTTCTGAGACAATGTGGCTCATTCATTCATTCCTTCACTCCTCCCCTCTTCATTCATCCCTCCCAGTCACCTCCTTCCAGACTGTGCAGCTTCTTCAGCTGTGCCTGTTTCTGACACCCGAGTGATCATCTCTGAACTCATTCTTTCATCCCTTCATTTACTCACTCCCTTATTCACTCCTTCACACGCTCCTTCATTCACTCCGTCTCACCTCCTGTCGACTGTGTAACCTCTCCAGCTGCACCTTTTTCCAACACATGTGGACTAATCTTACAAATCATTCACTCCCTCATTCCTTCATTCCCTCCTTCACTCATTCCCTCCTTCTGACCTCCTCCTGTAGACTGTGCATCCTCTCCAGCTGCAGCTGTGTTTCTGACACCTGTGCGCTCATCTCTCAACTCATTCATTCACTCCCTCATTCCCTCCTTCTCACCTCCTCCTGTAGACTGTGCATCCTCTCCAGCTGCAGCTGTGTCTCTGACACCTGTGTACTCATCTCTCAACTCATTCATTCACTCCCTCATTGCCTCCCTCTGACCTCCTCCTGTAGACTGTGCATCCTCTCCAGCTGCAGCTGTGTTTCTGACACCTGTGCACTCATCTCTCAACTCATTCATTCACTCATTCATTCACTCATTCATTCACTCCCTCCTTCCCTCCCTCTGACCTCCTCCTGTAGACTGTGCATCCTCTCCAGCTGCAGCTGTGTTTCTGACACCTGTGCGCTCATCTCGCGGCTGCGTGTGCGTTCCCTCTGCAGGTCCCCGCGGGTGTCCTGTAGCTGCCGCTGCAGGTGCTCCTTCTCACTCTGCAGCTCGGATATCTGGATGTTCAGCCTGGGGAAAAACAGGACAATCAGAGATGGCAGACTTCACACCCTTTACTATTCCACTAGCTGTGCACTTGGGGTGCATTGCAATGCTACATTGTGTATACATTTGTACAGGTATTGGGAATCATGTACACACACTCAGCCATGCCAAAAGCAATTACCTTAAAACACAAAACTAGTCCAACTGAAAGATGTTCAAAGGATATAATTCTCAAAAATGTAAATTACGGTAATAGCTACATTTTTTTCTAATTTCCATGTTATACAATGGACCTGTCAATTTTCTTGCAGAATTTCAGTATAATAAGCTGTCAATACAACATTTCATCTTTAAGTTATCTTATTTTATAACCAGTTCTCTTAGTCTTCTGCTGGACCCCAGAGTGCTTCCTGAATGTAAAAAAACTCCAGACCTACCTTCTCTGTGCCCCTTCACCAGATGATGCCAAACTCTCCTGTGAGAAACAGTGGATTCTCTGTTTATATTTTACATATTTACTGTCAACAAAACTGTCACACTTCAGGGGTGCTCAATAAGCTTAGTAATGCACAGCAGAAACTTTTATCTACAGTTCTGGGTAGTTTCTGAGCTCAAGTATTTTCACACAATATGGAAAATCATGAATGAAAATATTTCTGATCTTCTGATCAGAAATAAATCTAAATTCTTTACACCTCATAAAAATATTTAAAAGTTTGGGAAAAGCTGCAGGATGCCCAAATTGTTACATATGATAATCATCTTTTCCTTCCATCAGGTTCAACCAACCATGCAAAAAGTTTGTACAAATGTCAATCTATAATTTCGCATTTTTTCTATGGACAAGCAATAATTACCAAGAAAAATATGACTTTACCTGAAAGGGGGGAGAATCAGTTTTGATAATTTTTTTTCTATCGATATTAAAGCCTACTTTCATAATGAAAGTACCGGTATATAAACATGTATAAAACTTGTGACAATATCAAGCTCACAATCTTACAATAACTTCTAATTCAGATATAATTTATCGCTGTTGACATACATGTACACATCATTTAGTACATGTACTATATTTACCTTTTGTGTGACAGCCTGTCTCTCTCTCTCTTTCACTGCTTCCAGGTCCTTCTTCGCAAACTCTAGTCTCATCTCCAGGGATCGTTTCTCATCCTCTAATGTCCGACAGGACGCCTGGAACAAGCCATAATTAATACACAGTCGTGACATCAGGATTGGCTTCCCAAACACTGCAGAAATTCCCCCTACCATAGTTAGGAGTAGGTCTGGAGCAAGGTCGGCTGTGGTTGGCTAGTGTTTGGTGAGGTCAGCTATTGTTTGGCTGCACCAGCCAAATGTTTAAAAAACAGGAGCTTCAACCATGTTTGGTTGGTGCTCAGGAGTATATTATGTAGTTCAGAGTGCGTTTTGCAGTCAAGTTCACTTAACTTAACCTAAATTTCATTGGATACGTATAGAAAGGTAGGCATGGCCTAAATCTGGTCAGACTGCTCCCAAACTTCATCCAACCTTGTTTAAAGGTGGTCAGAGGAAGGTTCTGAATGTGTGACAGGTTATTTTTTGTGAAAGTACTTCAAGATTTCTGGCCGTACCTGTGAGTCGCTGAGTTCTTTCTTGCTCTTGTCCAGCTGTTGTTTGAGGCTGTGTGTGTTCTGGTCCAGCGAGGACACCTGTTTGTCCAGTTTGGTCCTGTCTTCTCTCTGTTCAAGCTGTAGTCTTGACACCTGGGGGAAGGGGAAATGGGAAGTTAACCCTTACACAGCTGAGGACATTCTAAGCAGCTTTGGAGCTGAGGGTTAACACAGTACTACTGCTAAGGGTGTTCTCATCCAGGCACTGGGAGGATAACCTCGTGCTTTTGACCTTGAACGGCCAGGACTTTGAGTATAGGACTATGACTCTGTTTTGACGAATAAGACTTTTATGTTTACTGTATGTTGTCTCACTGTATGTCTTGTATAATTTTGCTGGGCCCCCTTGGAAAACAGCTGATACAAGCTGAATTGGGGCTACCCAGCCATCTTGAGATCATAAATAAACCTTTGCACTGCTAATAAAAAGTGTTCTCATTCAGGATGAAGCTGAAGGTTAACCTTCATGTTCCTAAGGTGTTCTCATACAGGATGGAAATGAAGATTGACACGTGTAAGGGTGTTCTCAAACTGGCTGGGAATGGGACGTTAACCCTTACACTACTAAGGGTGTTCTTATCCAGGATGGAAATGAAGATTAACCCTTACACTAAGGGTGTTCTTATCCAGGATGGAATTGAAGGTTGACCCTTTCACTGCTAAGGGTATCTCAACAAACGTCCCTACATGTACCTCTTTCTGCAGTGCATCTCTCTCCTGTTCAACCCGGCTGAACCTGGCCTGTAGCTGGTCCAGATCCTGTTGTAGGTCCTCCCTCGCAGTCTCCAACTCTGCTGTCAGTTTGGCTGCAAGGAAACATTTAATATCTATTTACTGGTTTGGCTGACATTCATGCAGTTAAGGTTGCCTAACCAACATGTAGTATCAGACCAAATGGTTGGTTTTATAAGCAAAAAGCTGATCTGGAAACAACAGTTACTGCATCTAGGCTGTTTATAGGTCGTTTGAAAGACTTTTAGCAAAACATAAATATTTAGCAAAACATAAAAAAGATTGCAGCTTTGACAACGTTGAATAAATCTTTATCAAGAAAAGGAATATCTTAAGTTCAACACACCTGCATCAAGACTGTCTTGGTCCATCTTGAACTCCTGAGACTTAAGAAGCTGACTCCTGGCCAGACCAAGTTCTTCCTCTAACTCATCTTTGGACCTGCTCAGCTCATGTAGCTCATGATCATGAACCTGTGGGAGATGCAGTAATAATGTCAATCAACAGGGGGCACTCATGTATGGACCTACTCAGTTCTGCAGCTCATGGTCATGAAACTGACATGAAATGAACCTGCAATAGTTGCAATTTATATGTAAGTCACTAGGAGGCAATAATGATGTATGAACGGTCTCTTTTTACACACTTTTGAAACCCCCTGAATACTTTTTCAATGCAATAGCACCTAAAATAAAATCATTTTATTTATTCATATTCATATTAATAAATCCAGCCATCCATTCTACCATCCATCCATCAATTCATTTATTCCTTCATTCATCACTCTTTTATTCTCACATTTACTGCAACCCTGTTTATTTTGCAGGTTGCACTTAAAATCACTAAGTTGCATCTCTCTGTACACTTCATCATATAATTATCCTGATCCTATTTTCCCTTCATTTGTAACACTTCTATACACAAGAAGATGTCTTGACCTTGGTGAGGCTCTCCTTGACCCTCATCATGTTCTCTCTCTGCTGTCTCAGCTCCTCCTCGTGGTCAGCCCGCTCCCTCTCCAGCAGCTGTCTCAGCTGGTCCACGTCAGCACTGCTGTTCATCACGTGTGGCTGTCTCTTCTCTGCTGCCGTCTAGGGAACAGCACACACACACAATAGTGCTGCATACCTAAACCTACATTTAGGTTCAGGTTCGGATTCAAGTCCGGAGGTTTAGGGTCAGTTCCGGACTCGTAAGTCCGGACTTAAACCCATGGCATATACAAAATTGCATGTTTGCAACCTTGCAATGTTGTCTGGGTGAAACATAACATGGAGGCCGACACTTGACAATGCTCGATGGCAATGTTTTCTTCATTTTGCAGCAAAGTTTTTGCAATCTACGGAAGGTTTTAGGTGGTTTGGAGAGAAAAGGGGTATGTGAAATGGTCTTTTATGGTAATAAGTCCAGACTCGGTTCTTGACTTTTAGTTTTTTTTGGACTTGAACCTAAACATTCTTACAAGTCCGGATCCAAGTCCAATGAACTGGTATGCAGCACTACATACACACACAGGTAAACATTTAGCAGTGGCAAACTTTATATCCTCACAGGAGGTTAAGTACTGGTCCAGTAGTCTTGCAGCTGGGATTAGGACTTTCTAAACTAGCCCTTTGGTACCTTACAAACTTTAAAGACAAAAGCTGAGAAAGGAAAGAGTTGACTATTGCTGTCAATCATGATTTTTTAAAATCAGTTTTTATATTTGCAATTTTTGCGGTCACTAATCTGTACCGTGATCTGATCATTACCACAAATAAATAATTCGCCGCCTTTCATTTTGCTGCACCTGCCACAAATTAGCCATTTGCTGCTTACCTCGAGTTCATCCATTAGCCTGGCTCTCTCTACCAGCAGGTAGGCCACCTGTTCACTTAGCCCGGACTCAGCCACCTGCTGCAGGCCCTCTTGTTGTAACATCTCTCGTACTTCTGCTATGGCATCTGCAGAAACAAACAAGAGTTAGTCTGGTTCTACAGCCACCTGCTGAAGGCCCTCTTATTCACATCTCTCATACTTAAGCTATGAGGTCTCCAGAAACAAACAAGACTTACATGTAGTAGACTAGCTCTACAGTATTGTTTATGAGAAATGCAATAAAAAAAAACTTACCACACTCTATCTTGCGCTGCTCCAGTTCGTTGCGCAGAATCTCGTTTTCCGCCTCGAACTCGCTGGTGAGCGCCTCTCTCTCCTCAGACAGACTCCGGATGTGCTCCACATAGTTCTCCACCTGAAGACATCAACAGCTGATTCCTTACACCACACCTGTCTGATTTTTAGATTATCTATCAGATTTCAAACTGTTAACTCATGTTAGCTAATGTCAATGAGGAGCCAGTGGTAACTATGAATGATGGCACCCAGCAGGCTACTCAAATTACCACAAAAAGATAGTTATTACATTAAATTTTGCAGTGTCATGATTTGTACTGAAAAGGGCCAGCAAAAACCATGAAAGTAAGCCACTGGTGGGACCATGTCAATATAATGTTGATCAAGATCATGAGAACAGAGTCTGGTGGAAAACTGTGCCTTGGCCTCAATCTTTTGGGACAATTCTCCTTCCCGACATTAAATCTCAACTCCTTAAAACATCAAAAAGACATGTAAATTAAGACATCTCCAGCTCCTACAGAAATTATCCTCATTTAAGACATCTCTAACCTTACAAACACAGCTAAAACCCGCCAAAAACAGTTACTCAAACAACTGTAGTTAAAATCCTTTCAACAGTTCTTTTAAGACATTTTCCACCTTTATCTTAGTTTAGGACATCTGAAATCCTTGAAGACATCTCACCTCCTTCATCTCCTCGGCCTGCTGCAGTTTGAGGTCCTGGATGTCGGCAAGGGCAGACTTCAGGCTGACCTCTGACCTCTGGTACAGGCGCCAGACATGGCGGAGCTTCAGCTCATCGTCCACCTCCGGGTCCAGCCCATCGTCATGGAGACGGCGCCCGATCTCCTCCAGCTCTCCGCTGTCCTAAATAAACAAACAAATAAACATGATGATGAGCCTAATGCTGCATGGAAAGACATATGATATTGTCTATTTACTAAATAATGTTTACCAAAGGAAAGTAATGTAAACTAGATATGTAACGAATAGGTTTTTATCAAATATTAAAGAATCTTTATCAAATAGCTAATCTATAACTAGTATAAGAGCATTTTGTGTTGTGTTTTAATTTAAAGCCTTCCCAATTCAGCCAAATATGGCTGCTTACAGGCTTTGGTGTGTACTTTTTGTAAGAAACAAATAAACCAGTCTCTCTCTCTCTCACTTTCTCAAAGACTGTTTTTGCTCTATTTCCTCTTCTTCCGTTCCAAACAAATAAGGTCAATGATTTCAATGAAGTCAATGAGGTCACCTGCATTAGGCAGGTTTTAAAAAATTGGAGCTGTGCAGGTGTTTCAGATGTCTACCTGCCTGCACCAAACATACACTGGCCCTTGATAAAACCAGCTTTATTTAATGTTAAGTTTGACACTGGGGTGACAGTATGCATGCCCATGGGATTATTGCAACATAAAACAAGTGTATATTAAGAGGATACAGACAGTACTAGTGCAAGTTAACAATGGTGACAAGTGGAACATGTGAATATTCTAAGAACTGCTAGTACTAAATAAATATAATCTAAGCTTAAAATTGGGTTTGACATATCTTTTTTTGTAAGCAACTAAGATGAAATGTCCCACTTTTTTCAGTAATAAGTGAGTTCTGGGAGGTTTATGTTGTAGTTTTCTTTTTCATCAGTATAATGCAATGTACAGTATAGTACAATAAAGAGAACAAGAAATAGCCATGCCTTCAAGTACCAGACTTATCAACCAAGGATTGAGGTGTTGAGAACTATCGTAGGGTGGAAAGGTGGAACTCACTGTCACCTGAAGTACTGAGTAGGGGCAATTGTCATGAGATAGCTTTAAACTTAAAGCTGCGAAGCTGGTGTGTAACATACCAAAAGGCTATACAGATACAGAATGTTTGGAAATTGACGTGATAAAACACAGGTGCAGGTTTGAGTCCCTTGAGATAATGCTTTGTTGTAAGTCGTGCGTTTTGATAGGGGTAAAACAATAGCTGTGAAAACAACTGAATTTTCTAGGAAGGTCACGTAAAGGTCGATTGAAAAAAAATGCAAATTACAGAAGAAACGGTGCAGCTGGCACTGGATCTGTCGTTTGCGAAAATATGTCCGTGAAATTTTTGGAGCGCCGTTAAATTTTAATTTTGTTTCGTCCGCTGAGCTTTGCCATACCTTCTGACAGGTGTAAACTGTCAATTTTACAAACCTGCAAAAATTCAACGGTTAAAACAGGTAAATTCACATTATGTGGTGGTAAAATACGCCCCTTAACACTACATATACACTCATAATTGCTGTATGTACATAAAGATATATATATGCACTTAAGCGGCAACATTGAACTTTCAAATCGAACAGGTGGTCATATTAACATTGCTGGGTACGCTACGCCCCCCTCCCCCTTTCCTAAAAACCAACACTTACCGTGTCCAAAACCACGGGTTTCGCCATGTTGTTGGACGATTTATACTGCTAGAACACTGCTAGGATGTTTCCCTTGTGTTGTGTGGGTTTCCCTCCATGGTTTCTGTCCGTTTTGGCTGCATTTTTGTAGGTTTACATGGTTGTTGTACTAGGTTTTTAGCTGGTCCGGTACACTTTGTTTGGGCGAATCACCTCCAACCACGCGTAGCGTCACAGGTCAAAGGTTAATCATTCCAAATATGCAAACTCTCCATTGTTTAGCTTTGGTAAATATTTTCCTTTTAGTACCAACAATATGTGGATTTATATGTAAAGAGAATCTGCCATTTTTTGTCTAAACTGAACTACTACAGTACCGTACTATTTTCTTAGCCGGCGGATGCATACCATACCATCCGGTCTTGGACCGAACCATGGCGGTTTGTAGGGGGGACCAATTAAGTGAGTACAATTAAAAGTCACATGTCGGATAAGAAAAACGCGAAAAAAAATTGAGAGAAAAATCCAGTACAAAGTAGAAGTTGAAATTAATGTGAAAGGAGCTACAGGCCTACTTACATGTAGATATTGCTTGTCTCACTGAGACACAAACAACTTTATAAATCTTCTGTATCTGTATCTGTATAGCCGGTATAACCGCCTTTCGGCGTAACACACCAGCTTCGCAGGCACGCGGCGCGGCGGCAGCTGGCTATATTACACCGATCGACTTGTTACACCTAACCCTTGAACTTCTAGCTCTAGACATTGTTTAAAGCTATCTATAGACAGTGCCCCTACTGTACTTGGTGACAGTGAGTTCCACTCTGCAATAGTTCTAGGAAAGAATGAATTCTTGAACACCTCAATCCTTGGTTGATAACTCTGGTACTTGAATGCGTGGCTATTTCTTGTTCTCTTCTGGGCTGGTATTAGGTACTTAGTAGTTGGGACATCCACCAGTTTATTAGTCATTTTGTACATCATGCATAGTCTAGACATCTTTCTTCTGTCTTCAAGTGAGGTCCACTGTAGGTTTCTTTTCATTTCCGTGACACTAGCACCTCTTAGTAGCAATAAGTGGTAAATGTTTTGCCATCCGGTTTAAACTATGAATAATTTAAGTTTAAAAACGTTGTAAAAGGTCACATTTTATGATTTTCATGCTTTTCATGCAGAAAATTTCAATCATACAAGTTACCAATCTGATACATTTAAAAGTAGCGGGTTGGAAATCCGTATTGAACTGGTGACTAAAACAAGAAAATAATTTCATTTTATGCATCTCTGGACCTGCGCATTATGATTAGAATTTTCATCATAATCATAGATATCAATGTTATTCAAAAAGCCAGCTTCAGACAATTAACTCCACCAGGCCCGATCCTGGGTTGTTTTTCACACGGCGTTACGTATCAGCTATATGCAGAAGGAGGCTTACACACCCTTCAAGAACAACAGCAACCTGTGCCCGAGTTCCTGTCAAAAAGTGTCAACTGAAGCTATTCTAACCAACGTAAAAGGTATGTGTCTGCGAGTGAATAAACAATTAAGGTTAAATTTCTTGTAGGCAGTTTGTCTGGCCTACGCCTATGCGGCTAGGCTGGCAATCAGATAGATTTTCAATTCTCTAAGTAGATGTGACGAGGGAAGATTTGTCGTTTTTGGACTGTCGGCAATGGTAGATAACTGTCAGAGAAGTTAGGACATCAGAAAAAGTTTAACAATCAAGGGTTAATGACCCGCCCCGAGGTGAATATGGTGTGATAAAGCCTTGTCAATTTCTATATTTTTGCCATGATTGTTTTATTTGGTGCAGGTGACGTGGCACTATCGGTAAAAATTGCACTGGAACCAGAAAATACTGACTGATAAACCATCATGACACTTTGCTAAGCCACAGTCTGTTTAAATGTTTTAGGCTTGAAATTACGACCATTTTGCCATCACAAGGCTTTATAAAATTAACACAGTAACACAGCTTATCGGTCTACACTTACCAGGAGATATTCTAAAATTGCATTATTCAGTACAGAGCACGTATTACTAACTAAGAAATTCAGTCCTATAACGGCTATCTTAATGACATTTCAGAAAAAGGATTTGTTATCTTTTTAATTAAAAGAAGTGCACAATTTTCTACTCTTCTGCTGATTTTCTTGTTTGGGAGGTCCAAACAGGGCCTTACGCAGGAGTACACAATATCAATATTCAAGCAGCAAGTCTCAGACAATTAACAGGTATATATACGTAAAACAATGACAACTGAAAATTACCTTCGCATATATATGGTCTGCTCTGTTGATTCTTACTTAAACACATTCGTGTATATGGTCAGACAGCAGTCTGAAATCCCCCCTGCTATAAAATTGCAACATGATGCATCCCAATACTACCATGGTAACAGTCTGGTTCAGGTCATTGACCTTTTTGGTTGGGAGAATAAGAGGAAACGGAGCATTATGTTTTCCTTCGGTGACCATAAATAGGGGCCCCGCCGGTTAGTTTACGGGCTGTTTTTCTTCATTTTCGGGCGCGGCCTCTTTTTTAACGGATGGGGACGCGGAACTTTTCATAACTGGGGGATCGAGTCAGCATGAACTCGGGTCCTAGTGACAAATCTAAAATACACCGTATCCTAATCGTGATAACACCGGCAGTACCCCTCCCTGGGCGAAATATGTACCAGAGCACCCCAGCGCCACTAGTACTGTGATTTGTAATGCTCTCTCTCTCTCTCTCTCTCTCTCTCTCTCTCTCTCTCTCTCTCTCTCTCTCTCTCTCTCTCTCTCTCTCTCTCTCTCTCTATCTCTCTCTCTCTATATATATATCCCTTTACAGGGATATATATCCCTTTACAGGGATATATATTCCTAACCCCCAAAGCCACTCTCTCCCAATCCTACGTACTAGTATATAGACAGCAGCAAACAAGGGGGAAACGTACAGTCACACATGGTTTTTGTTCTATGACATTTTAGAGGAATTTAGAATTTAGCAAGAGGGCAAAACAAGAAAACTAAGTCATGGGAGGACAATTGGAGTGTAACAATTTTTCTCTTGTACAAACCAAGAGTTTAACCTGGGACTTAATGTCTATATTCAAGGTATCGTTTTGTCTTTAAACTTTGAGGTCGAAGATAAAGTTGGAATGGGCATACTGAGGTGATTCCCGTTCTATTCAGGTGGCAGGACACCATGGAGAGAAAACTGAGACGCGTGCTGATTTTCCTTCTCATCATCCTGAAGGAACCCAACATGCCAGAAGCTGACTGCGACTGTAATCCACCATCACTCTGCAAAGAAGACGAAGGCCTCACCAGCATCCCTCAGAACCTCCCAACATCCATCTCTAAGTTAGATTTAGGATGTAACTGTATTAAAACTGTAGAGCAGTCTGAGCTGTTACGGTATAAGAATTTGTGTAAGTTGTGCCTGGAAAGAAACTTGATAACAAAGATTGAAGCTGGCACATTTGCAAATCTATCACGGCTAGAGTATTTGTCAATCAAGGCAAACAAGATAGCAGAGATTCAGTCTGGTTCAATCACAAACCTACCCCAGCTACAACATTTGGACCTGTTGAGCAACCAGATAACTACCATCCCTTTTGGTACATTTGAAAATCTGCCCCAGCTACAAAAGTTGATCCTGTCCGACAACCAGATAACTACCATCAATTCTGGTGCACTTTCAAATCTACCCCAGCTACAACATTTGGACCTGTGGCGCAACCAGATAACTATCATCCCTTTTGGTACATTTGGAACTCTTCCCAAACTACAAACGTTGACCCTGTCCCGTAACCAGATAAAAACCATCCCTTTTGGTACACTTTCAAATCTTCCCCAGCTACAAAAGTTGATCCTGTCCGATAACCAGATAACTACCATCGATTCTGGTGCATTTGTAAATCTGCCCCAGCTACAACATTTGGACCTGTGGCGGAACCAGATAACTACCATCCCTTTTGGTACATTTGGAACTCTGCCCCAACTACAAACGTTGACCCTGTCCCGTAACCAGATAAAAACCATCCCTTTTGGTACATTTTCAAATCTGTCCCAGATAAAAAAGTTGTACCTGTCCAAAAACCAGATAACCATCATCGATTCTGCTGCATTTGGAAATCTGCCCCAGCTACAAGTGTTGAACCTGTACGATAACCAGATAATTACGGTCCATTCTGGTACATTTGGAATTCTGCCCCAGCTACAAGCATTGGACCTGTCCTACAACCAGATAACTACCATGCATTCTGATGCATTTGCAAATCTGCCCCGGCTAAGTTGGTTGTGTTTGAACAACAACAACATAACTACCATCCATTCTGATACATTTGCAAATCTACCCCAGCTAACAAATTTGGACCTGTACAACAACCAGATAACTACCATCCACACTGATACACTGGCAAATCTGCCCCAGCTTAAATCCTTGCACCTGGGCAACAACCAGCTAACAACCATCCCTTCTGGTGCACTTGCAAATCTTTCCCAGCTACAAAAGTTGATCCTGTCCTTCAACCAGATAGCTACCATAGATTCTGGTACATTTGCAAATCTGCCCCAGTTACAACAGCTGAGGCTGAACGATAACCAGATAACTACCATCCATTCTGAAACATTTGCAAATCTGTCTAAGCTACAAACGTTGATCCTGTCCTTCAACCAGCTAACTACCATCGATTCTGGTACATTTGCAAATCTGTCTAAGCTAAAAATGTTGATGCTGAACGATAACCAGATAACTACCATCCATTCTGAAACATTTGCAAATCTGTCTAAGCTAAAAATGTTGATGCTGTCCTTCAACCAGATAACTACCATAGATTCTGGTACATTTGGAAATCTGCCCCAGTTACAGCACCTGATGCTGAACGATAACCAGATAACTACCATCAATTCTGGGACATTTGGAAATCTGTCCCTACCAAAAGATTTGAAACTTCAGGGGAACCCCTGGCAGTGTGACTGTAGGATGGTTCCCGTCAGACTAATTCCTGAATTTAAAGACCAAATAATGTGTGCCAAACCCGCCAAAGTTCAGGGAGAGAAGCTTGCACATGTCGATCTTAAAGAATTGATATGTGAAGAGCCAGCCCCTCACTGCCACTGGTTCTTTAAGTTCGATGCTGTCCCAATGTTCGATCCTGACTCAGCATCAAGCCCTGCAGGCGCAGCAACAGCAACACTAACTTCGCCCCTTGCAATCACTTTAGACAAACCAGAATCTGCTCCCAGTCCCCCCCTACTTGTTCTCTCTATATGTGGTTCACTTGCTGGTGCTGTTCTGATTGGGACTTTCTTGGCTGTAATTTGGAACAAGAAGAGGACCAGGAATCCTCCATTAGGGCTGAATCCCGGTGTTGTTGGGAGCAACACAAACACAGCAGCGTCTGTAATGGCCAGTGGTCATGATCAGAGAGGGCAGGGTCAGTCTCAGGCTATCACTGCATCCACCACACACACAACAGCTACTGTGATGGCCAGTGGTGATGATGATCACCAGTATGAAGATATAGACAAGCCCCGTGTTAAAACAGGGCAGGGTCAGTCTCGGGCTATCACTAAATCCAACACAAACACAACAGCTACAGCAATGGCCAGTGGTGATGATGATCACCAGTCTGAAGATATCGACAAGCCCCGTGTTAAGGCAGGTCAGGGTCAGTCTCGAGCTATCACTGCATCCACCACAAACACAACAGCTACTGTGATGGCCAGTGGTGATTCTGATCACCAGTATGAAGATGTAGACAAACCACGTGTTAAAACAGGACAGGGTCAGTCTCAGGCCAATCCAAGCACAGCTTCTGTAACGTCCAGTAGTCATGATCGAACAGGTCAGGGCCAGTCCCAGGGCATCACTGAATCCCTGGATGAGAGAAATCTATCTTATGGCACAGGGCCGACTGCCTCACAGCTAAATTCTTTGTACAAAGCAGTGACCCAGTCTCAGACCATCACAAACACAGCTATGGTAATGGCGAGTGGTCATGGTCAAACAGGGCAAGGTCAGTATCAGGCGATCGCTGAATCCGTGGATGCTAGAAATCTGTCTTATGGCACAGGGCCGACTGCCTCACAGCAAAATTCTGTGTACACAAAAGAGGAAATAATTGAATCCACATTCCCACATGCAGGAAGGTTGGACAATTAATGATTAAAAGAAAATTCGGTCTTGCAGACCACTGAGAGATTATACATGTATATTGGGAGAACTTGAAGATGATTGATTTTTAGGATTTTGAAATGTTCAACCAATTGTACATATCATTGAAAGGCCTTGCACTACCAATTTTTTTTAAATTTTCTTATGATGATATATTGTTTATATATATATATATATTATATTTAATAATATTATGATAATATTATATTTACATAATATTTTCTTGTCAAGGGGAAAATTCAAGAAACATTCTTCAAGGCTTTTGTATGTTGATTCTTACACAAAGAATTTGATTCTTCTTTATTCTATTCTATGGCGCAGCTGCAAAAACAAAGTAGACATTGGCAACCTGGAATTTGCAACAACTTCAACGCTTGCAACTTGTACGCACGGAAATTCAGCAAAAAAATGAACATGGTACATTATGGTCATTTTACCCATCCTAAAATTATGAAGTTTTTTCTTAAAATAGTTCGTGGGTTGTGGAGACTTGTAGTTCAAAACCTGTTGTTGTTGTAGTGTGGCAGGAGGGCAAAATATGATATGTTTAATATATTTGAAGAATCACTTTAATTGTAACATTGTAACTTTACACTTCTTAAGACTTTAATCTATATAACGTTTCATGTTCATTTTATGCGCTCTTACATGTATATAAGACGTTCTGCCTAAGTACTCTGTACAATACATTACGGGTTTCAAGCTGATGCAGTACGTTCTGCCAACGTGCTGGTATCATTGTACATATTTATTATCATATAGCCAGATGATGTCGACCAATCGGAAGACTCCATTTCCCCCCCATAACCCAGCAGGTCATTAATATCCGATATATTGATCAGCAGTTTGAATGACGTCAGAACAGAGGTAGACGTTACCATTACATGACAGGGTGGTGTTTTCTTCTAACCTACTTCTTATTCTTAAGAATTTTCTGAAATAGTCAGACTTGTTTATGTAGAATGGAAAATTTCCATTTCCTGTAACTTTCAGCTTTAAATAACTGGTTTGTTGTGATGAGGATTCACTTCAATGCAAGATTAAAAGATGTCTATGTTACATACAGGAGTTGTTTCCATTATGTGTCAACTTGATATAGATGCATATGTGATAATGTCTATATGATAATGTTAATGACCCGCTTTCCTTCGGTGTATACGGTGTCATAATTCATGATCGGTTCCTATAACCACCACATTTATTCGGTGGTTATGGGAACCGATCATGAATTATGGCATCGTATACACCGAAGGAAAGCGGGTCATTAACCCTATATTACATACATATATGGTTGTTTTTCTATAACATGCTAACGTAAACAATAGCCTGGGTTGTAAAAAACACTCTTGGCTAATCCTTGGTTTACAGCAAAGTTGCAAAGTTCTAGTTGCATGCAGAAGTCCTGGTGGTGGAGAGAAGATACCGGTGTACTCTTGTTTTGAATGACTGGATGTTGTTGTCAGTGATCAGGCCGACCACGTTGTCTGGGACACAAATAATGTTTATTCTGCATGACAGTTCTCCTATTGATCCTGTTGTTTGTGTATACTCTGTTGTCCGTCCGTGGATGAAGGCCGGGCTGCCAGGTGTACAGAAGAGGAGGCGCCGTCTGGCTCGGGTCGAGGCGGGCTGGGATCGTCTGGGGAGTCTGTGGGGCGGGTAAAACACAATACAATCAATTAGAAACTTGTATTAAGGTGTCCTCGATATTAACTATTTACCCGTAGTAATTAGAGAATAACTAGATTTCAATTAGGCTATTAGGTTATTCTCTAATAACTACAGGTAATTAGTAGATATCAAGTTGTGCAAACGTACGTTTGTAGCTTTGACCATTATGCACATGAAAATCATACTTTTATTGCAGTTATTTATACCAAAGTGCTGTATTATAGCTTTAAAGATAATTACATTTTGGGCAATTAAATATGATGACGTCATCCATATGGTCCATAAAGTCATATTCACAACCCTTTTGTACCCAGGTATCAATATTCAGTACAACTACAGTTCTTTCTAAATTTCTTTGTGACAAAACGATGAAAAGTTTAGAATGCCAAATTAGCGTGGGAGGACACCTTAATTGCCTACTTATTCTACATATCATATTCAAAGTGAACGTACGAAGGTCTTGTTTTTGTTGTGTTTATTAGTCTTTCTGTTTGTTCGTTGGTTTGAATACGGTATAGTCATGGGAAGTGCAGGGGAAATTATGCAACCACAGACTGAGTCAGATCAGTACAAGGTATCGGTCAGTTAAGGGGCGGGCACAGATAAGTACAGACTTAGTTTTACCTCCCGTTCAGTTTGTTTATCTGTTTGTCCAGAAATTCACAATCAAATAAAATCAAATTCAACTTTATTGCGCAACAACTGTAGCTGGTACAATGTATGGCAAAGAAGAAACAACAGGGGTAGATACAAGAACTATACTAAAATATAATTTTAACAGAATTAGTCCATAATGATACAAAAGCTAATCTATTGTATTTTCTTAAGGAGAGTATTATTACGTTCTATAGTTCAGGAGATTTGTCACATGTATTTGTTACATGTATTTACAATCGCGTTTGTACTGATTCAGATATGAATTTTCCAACGTACAATGATATCTGAGTAGGGCATAAATGATATAATAGATAATGAATAAAACAGGAAATTTAATACGTAAAAAGTACTAGTACTAGAGACGCGTTTGTTTAGATACTCACGTCTCTTGTTCTTGCCTTTATCTTCCGTTCTGTCGTTCTGAAACTGCGGAAAGATTTTCCTGGTGACGGAGTTACGAAAGCAGAGCAGCAGTCGGCGCATCGGGTTATTCCTGTGGGGAAAATATAAGTCTTGAAATCGTGGCTAGGGTGCCATTTTTGACCCGTGCTTAGCTCAATACATTTTGTACATGTGTGCAAAATGTATTTTGTTAGACGTGTAACCTCCTTGGCTTAGACATTGGTTGTTTGGCGGGGAAAAATATGTGTAATATAGGACTAGGCCACACCAAGTAAATTTTATGGATGACGTCCTTTGGAGACCCTAAATCTAATGCGAGAGGGCGAAAAAAAAACAAGAAGGGCCCTAAAAAACAAGATTCCTAGATTAGAAATATACTAAGAGAGGACAAATGTTAGGACACAAATTGAATGAGGTGACACAGTGTAACAAGCAAGAAGTCTTTTATTCATCATCAAAACAGCAATAAGTCAGGTGGAACAGCAGTTGTCGTCCTGTCCTGTTTTCGCGTTACGGGTTTCACGTCAATCTGACGATTTGCGGCACTGTCATGAATCTTTGGTCATAGTTACAGGAAGCAGAATTTCTTTTTTTTTCTAGGAACAGGCCAAAATCAATGCGCGCGCGGACGTCATCCATAAAATTAACTTGGTGTGGCCCTATCTCTTTAAACGCATTTTATAGCCCCGCTTCCCGGCCCAAGCCTACCTTGCAGGTTCCGCGGCTGCACCTCCGTCCCCCGCCGCCTGTGGCTCCTCCTCACCGCTGTCCTCCCCGCGACTCAGCGTGAACGTTTTCTGTAGTGTCAGGAAACGAATATGGTAATTTTTGTATCTGTTAACCGTGTCCATTCATCTGTTGTAACCTGTACTTAGCCAAGTGTGGCAGAAATGTGCAATAAAGGTATTTCATTTATTCATTCATTATCACCGGAAGTATCCTTCGTGTGTGTGTGTGTGTGTGTGTGTGTGTGTGTGTGTGTGTGTGTGTGTGTGTGTGTGTGTGTGTGTGTGTGTGTGTGTAGTACGAAAGATCAGACAGATCTTTATTTATTTATTTATTTATTTCGAAACCTTTTAGCCCCGAAGGGCTAATCTTCCAAGGCTCAAACATTATAGCAATTACAACATAGTGGAAACATTTAAAAATACATACATACATACATGTACACCACATTAACAATAAATACACATAGATATAAACAATTTAAAAGTGGCGAGCAAGGGTCAAGGATCAGGTGACACTACTACTGTTTGAAACGGCTTTCTTAAAACTGATAACATCGCACAGTGTCTTAACGTCAGATGGTAGATCGTTCCAGAGCACGACTGCACGATACAGGAATGAGCGTTTTCTGCTGTTGGACTTAGGTATTGGTAATCTAAAGTTATGTGCGGAAGATCTGGTATTATGACTGTGAGATGCATGAACAGGCAAAAGGGAGTTGTAAATATTTTGTGGTTCGTGACTCGTGAGGATCTTAAAGAACATGACCAAAGTGCTTTTCAAGAATCTCTCTCTCACAGTCGGCCAACCAAGATCTAGATGCATCAGCCTGGTAGGAGTATCAGGAGTACATTTCTGTAGATGCATCAGCCTGGTAGGAGTATCAGGAGTACATTTCAGTAACAGTCTACATGCCCTATTCTGCACTACTTGCAGTTTGCGCATGTTGGAGTCTGACATGTTAGCTAAGACAGGTGCGCAGTACTGCACAACTGACAGAACCAGTGCACAAACAACAACCTTGCAAACTGCAAAAGGCATCGCCCACATATGCCTTCTCAATAGGGCAATGTTTCTTGATTGTCTTAACGCAATGTGAGTAACATGTGAGTTCCATGTGAGAGACCTATCCATGTGTAGACCCAACAAAACTGTCTCCCTCACTTCCTGTACCCTCTCAGTACCGATTGCAAGATCTAGTGAATTATCAGGCAAACTAGCGAGCCTACGTGGGGTTCCGAAAAGCATGCATTTAGTTTTAAGAATATTCAACACTAACTTATTCATGCAAACCCAGTCTGATAAACGTACAAGGTCAGATTGCAAACCAGTATTGATGTCACTAACAGTCCTACCAGCTTTGTAAATAGATGTATCGTCAGCGTACATTTCAGGTGTGCTGTTTAACACCGACGAAGGTAGGTCATTCGTAAACAGTGTGAAGATGAGTGGGCCTAAAACAGCTTCCCTGAGGGACACCACACTGAAGTAAGGAGGGTTCAGAGAAGTGACCGTTGATGTAAACAACTTGTGATCTGGCCTCAAAATAACTCCTCATCCAAGACATGGCATTGGATGAGAAGCCATATGATCTAAGCTTAGCTAACAGAATATCGTGGTCGACTAGGTCAAATGCGGCGCTGAAATCAACAAACACTGCACCCACCAACTCGCCTCTGTCAAAAGCATTAAGCCAATCATCCGACATTCTAAGTAGAGCAGAGGTTGTGGAATGATTTGGGCGATAGGCGTGTTGGTGGGGTGTAATGATGTTGTTCACAGTAACATAGTGCCAGACTTGATTATGCACAATCTTTTCCAATACCTTGCTCAAGGCTGGAAGCAAGACTGATGGGTCTGCTATTGCTCCCTGTCAATGGAAGTCTGGCGTTCTTTGGTAAAGGGCAAACCTTTGCCGTCTTCCATTGAGCTGGGAAATGGCATTCCATCAGTGACAGATTACAGATGTGTCTAACAGGTGCAGCAATATAAGGTGCAGCCAATCTAACTAACTTGTTCTCTAGCTGGTCAATCCCACATGTTGTAGACATGGGTATGTTAAGTAATAATCCAAGGACCTCATCCATGCTAACTGGGTTAAACTCAAAAGAACATAACTTGTCAACCATAATGTTCCGGTACCACAGATCTATTGACTACTATAAGCTAGGCATTTTTGTTTACCTGCGAAAGTCTTCTGTCGGAGTATTGTTTGTGCATGATGGGTTCAGTCACAGCTCGCAACATCTTCTGCATTTCCTGCGAGGAGAATGAGAATTTCAAAGGCTGACTCACAATTATGATTAACGTTACGTGTTGTATTTGGTTTGTGCAGTTATCACAGTATATTGTCTTCTTCGATTTTGAAACACGTTAAGACTGCACTGCGCCGTCTATAAACATGCCTTAAAGCACTTGCGTGAAGAAACAGGATGGGGAACTTACTAACCTCTCTGGGCAGTTTGTGATCCAGTTCAGATTCAGGCACGAATTCAGATCTGTTCAAAGTACAATAAAAAACATTAAGACAGACGAGAGTTGCAAGTGAGTGGATTCAATCTGGGCAAAAACCCCGAAATGAAGAAAAAAATCATATCGCCTGAATATTTTAAGTTAACACGCTGTAACTGACGCACCTGTCGTCTCCTATTGTCTGCAGTTCGGACTCTTCAGACTGGTCGGTAAGGCCCCCTAGCGCCGCTTGGATCCGCTGGATGAAAACAGCTTCTCTTGCTAAAAAAAAAGGAAGAGGTGAACCAATTTTCTTTCAAGCTACATGCTGCATTCAACAGAATATGTCAGGGAAAAGTAAGGAAGCAAATACGGCAATATGTAGCCGCTTTTCAGCTTTAGCGTCGTCTTGCTCAAGATACGATAGTATAGCAACTGTCCTGGAGCATTAAGGCTTCCCCTTGACATCTGCAAACATCTTAGGAAACAATTAGGGATCAACTGTGAATAATTTCATCTCTGTCACCTTCATTTCACGGCAATTGTCACAATTACTTCACTTTTGAGAGCAGTAATAGCTAGATTCACTAGTGTACAATTGACTAGTCATTACCTTGCCCTGATAAAAATGACAGACGGTCATCGCAACGACGGTTCTAGTTAAATAAAACGTGCTTTTGATCAAATTTGCTATTCAATCGTTCACCAAACATGGTGAAATTATTCATGAATGCATTAAATAAGGAATCAGGTAAACACAAGACACCTACCTCCACCTTCTCCGTCTCCTTTAGCTTTCGCCTCTTCTTCAAGATACGGCAGGATGTCCTTGAGCAGACAGTCCTTCAGCTTGAGCGCGTCTCCCTGTCCCTCCGCCAGCCTCCTCCAGGCGTTTCTCTCTCGGATAGTTCTCTCCAGCAGTTCAGACAGCTCGTTCCGGTTCGCCTTCGGACTGATGGATACCTGCAATGGGTGTGTGGCGTAGTGGTTAGTAATGTGTTGTTTTTTTCTAATCACAGCGTCGGGTTGCACTACGCCTTCATAATGCTCAGGTCACATTACCAAACCGGATTTTTATGAACAAAACATTTTTTAAAAATGTTTAGAAGCTCCAATTTGCAAATTGGAGCTTCTATGGCCCTGGATCTTCTCTGGTATACTATCCCTTTATTTCGGCCAATTTCTACTATTTTTTCCAGCGATCCGCGGTGCCTGGTAGAGGCTAGCAGAATCACATAACAATATGCAATGCAGTATTTTAATACAACTCAATACAGTGCATCTTAAATACCTTCTTGCAGGACTGTGCGAAGTTCAGGGTTGACATGTTCTCTAGTACACTGCCGCTGTTCCGGTCACAGGTCGCTACGATGACCGTTTGTGACGTCCCGTCCAGGCAATGTTTTAACAACTTCGTCAGAACACTTTCCCTATACAAGTAGACGAAAATTCACATATGTTTATAATATTATAATTCATATGCATATTCCTATGCATGCAGTTCTGTAGGGATCCAAGAAGAATATTATTTCCATTTATATTTATTGGAAATGACGCATGCAATTACTCGTGTGAGTACAAACAGACTCAGCTGGCGATGGTTGACTCACAAAAAGTAAGTAAATTAGAACCAAAGATGAAATATGAATCCTGCAATAAACGGAATGAAATAACAAAAAAGGTATCTATATTTCTTTTTTATTAAAAGAGATTCGAGCTAGTGAAAGCCTGTCTGTATTTCTAGAACCGACATAGCTGCATGTAAAGTTTAAGCTTTGTTCCATCACAAGAAAGGAACTCATCATGAATCTTCAGTCGATGTTATTCACCTTCAACAGACGTATTATCCACGTCACTTCCATTGCGCCCCTGACGTCATCACACTTCCGGCTTCCGGAAAGTCAGCGCGGCGGCATCATACATCTGATGAAGGCCGCACGAGACTGCATGAAAAGTTCATATTGAGTTCCTTTCTTCGGTTAAAAAAAAGGGGAAACCAAACCTGTAAGGGACGTGCTTTCCTCTCTTTCTGTCCGACAGCGCGGCGACGACGCGTTTGAGGGTGTACAGGCTGAGGCGGATTTTGCGGCCTTCCGCGCGGGTGAGGTCCGACAAGGCGGCGTCATCCTCGGTCTCACTACCGGCAAGGTCTACCATGAACAGGCTGGCTGTGAAAGAGATTATAGAAAATGTATTGAAGATTAAGAAAATGGGGCTCTTAGTGCAGAACCTCTAAGCCACCTTCCTCTGTGAAACACCATCCTTTAATGCTAGTGGTTGATTGATCTAGGGGCCTGTCCATGTACCAGTAGAAGGGCTGCTAAGACTAGTAGAAGCGTGATGTAGTTACTAATGTATAGGCTACTTTCTCAGGGAATGGATGGACATTGCTACTCCTTGCCGCAAGGCGTCGTTGTTGCAATGATGTGGTCCCAAACGTGACCGAGTCTTCATTCCTCTCGTCTCTGTATTGAATTTGATTCTTTTTTTACATAATATAATTGCAGTTTGCAACTTAATAACAAGGAAAATCGTAGATTTTGTACCTCCGGGTATTGTAATGTATGTTGCAGAATGTTGGGTGCATGTTGGGACTGTTCTTTAAATTAGTGAATGGTGTCTGGGTGTGTGTGTGTTCACGCGAATACCACGTGACACAACTATGCAAGAGGAAGCTACGCAACTTGACACCTGTGCGAACAAGAACAATATGATTATGAACGGGGATAAGTCCTATGAGTTGAGACTGTGCTTTTCAAAAACTCCACCTGTTCCACCTCCCCTCACACTTGGAGGCAAAGAAGTCCCGGTTGTTGAATGTGCCACGTATCTGGGCTTCAAACGTCACCGCAGCCTTAGCTTGGGTGGGACAGCCAAATCTTACACATGGCAAAGAAAGGCTCAACCCGTCTTCACTTTCTCCGCATGCTCAAGAAGGGCGGGATGCCACCAGAGGACCTGGAAACTGTGTATACGACTCTGATACGACCTGTGTTAGAGTATGCAAATGTCGTGTACGTGGGCTGTAACACAAAACAGAACAACACTCTTGAGGCTGTACAGAGAAGGGCGGCGAGAATCCTACGGCAACAGTACTCAAACAACTCCCTTCTCCACCCTCCAGGACAGACGGGAAACTGCAGCAAAAACTCTGCTCAAGCAAATGCGGCATGTCAGCCACACTTTGCATTCTTTGATGCCCTGCGACAGACACCAGAGCACACGGCGGTCCCTGAGAAATGGAAACCACATCTCCGTTCCGAAGTTCAGAACTGAAAGACTGAGGAAACCTTTTCTGTTTCAGGCAATAAGCCTCAGCAATCAAGATTTGTAAATAGTCCGCCTCTGTTAATGGACCTGAGCTACAAAATTTTAAATCTATTTAATTTTAATCGTCAATGTTGTGCTTTTTAATGTGTATCTCTTTTCAAGCTATTTTAACATGTAATCACTTGTGCAATTCAGCCAAGCAATGAATATTGGCTGCCAATCAATGTGAATAAAAAACAGTTTCAGTTTTAGTTTTTCGAAAAGTTTCGAAATGTTTGTAAGTGGCTAAATGATCTGTGAAATCACTAATCCCCCCTAGCCGACTGGAGCCCAAAAATAGAAAGGACAGGGGGCATCCCGTGGCGAATCTGGCTGCCCGACCCTCAGCGACCAGCGATCAACTCCAGTGCGCGGAACGGAACTTGCTCTCGAAAATGTATCAAGCCGCTACGCTTCCCCCGCGGCTGCCATCCCTCCCCACTTATCCCACACTAGTTCAAATCACGTAAAAAAACCCCATCAAAACATGCACAGAAGCGTGTTCATATCTTTCATGTTACGGTTAAAACTTAGAACCTCATTTTGAGCGAACGTTACAAACACGAGACAAAATAATATTTTCGAAAACAAATCGCAATCTTATCAGCAAGGTTTCATTGATTCCTGTTAGATTTAACCGGTACCAAACCGCGGCAGGCAGCTAAGAACAGCGACATATTTGCCACGGTTAGCACAAGTGGCGGTGATATATTCAGGTCGTGCCGCCATGTGTTTGTTTAGATATCAGTGTGAATAGCAGCCCTGTTTCAGACACGGCCGGCCTGCCGGCGTTTCCGGCACGGGCACGATAATGAGACGTTGATTGACGGCACATGTGGTTCACATCTGAACAGTTTCAAAGAAAGAATTTATCGACAATGCTGACACCCCTCTGTGTGAAAGGTCAGATCAGTGGTCGCGACCTCAATCGTCCTTATACATGCAAAGGTCAAAAGCTGAGGTCCACTTTCACACTGAAAGGGGTGTCCATCGGCGGTCTAAACGCATCATTTTGACGCACTAAAACACACATACTAAAAAACCAAAACAACGTGCACCATCTACAGCCCAACAGCAACACGTATACCAACTCCCAGACATATCCGTCCACCCAAACGCGAGAAACGGGTGCGAACGCAATTTTCGTCTTCCCTCACAAAACCTCCGCGCTCGGGATGTACATCCCTACCCGGAGGTAATAATTTAGGACATGGCATGAAAACTTACAACATTACTCGATGTTTTTAGCATTTTTTTTTTGGCAGCTTTACTTCAATCGAATACCTGCTCTGTCCTGTCTGACCAGCGGTTGTTTCGAGGCCTCCCATTGGACGGTTTTGGTCTGAATGACGTCCATCTGGATGATCATGTGGGAACGAGAGCTGCGCTGGTTCCGCTTCGTCCTCTGCTCGCGACGTGACCTTAAAAAGAAACAAAATGGCGACGCCATGAGCTTCTTTATTTGTCAAATTTGCTGTGGTCCGTATCTATAAATGAAGAAATTTTGAAGCTGTATTACACATTCAATAACAAAATGTTAAAGTTATGGCTTTAGAATTTTACCCTTGACTGATTTGCAAGAAGACATTTGTAACGACCTTGTGGCAACTAGCAGAATATCTAATGCTAACGGCCTTCAACATCTTGCCCTAGAAATTTGAAAAAAAAAACTTTGTAACCTTGAACTATCTTAAATGCCATGTGTAGAATTATCATAGTGGCCTATAATTTTTCAAGCCCCTTGTCGGGGTTTCCAGAAAAAGACACAAATTAACCTAAATTTCAAACTTTTTATGAAAAAAAATTGACGTTTAAAGTGTTGAAATGATAAATGTTGGGTGCTGACCTTGCGGCTGCCCGTAAAACTGTCATGGCGGCCTCGGCGCGCACCACGTAGTGGTTAGTGATGCCGTGTGGGTAGAACGACCCTCTCTTGTCAGGACCCCGGATGTCCAGACTCTTACCTGTGTTAGCACTAAACAGATCGTATACCTGGAAAAATAGAACATAGCAGGAAATTGAATTTGGTTGTAAATGTCCTTACCGTCTGGTCTCAGGGATGACATCATGAGAAGCTGTTAAGTCTGTTATGTCAATCTTTTCAGGCGTCGCCAAAAAATAAAAAGAAGACTTTGGATAGCTCATAATCAAGGAGTGTAATCGATAATCATAAAGAATCCATTGAAGTTTTGTAAGGGTTCCGTCTTTCTGCTGCCCCACTGTCTTACACACATTCTCACACAAACACAGCACACATACTTATGCAGACAGACAGAGACAGACGGACAGGCAGACAGAAAGAGGCGGACGGACAGACAGACAGATAGCTCAAAGACCTTCTCACATTCCCCGTTCCCGTGCGCACCTCGAGCACTAGTATATGGATTTCCGCATTTCTGTTTGGCTTGGACTGCTTCATCCTCTCACAAACAAACAAAACAAACAAACAAACAGACAGACAGACAGACAGACAAGCAAAGCAAACAAAACGAACAAACTTTGAGACATCTTACCTTCTCCATGTAGACCTCATACACCAGCATGTGTATGTCCACCGTGCGGCTGGGGTCCGCCTGTTCTAACCGTTCCTTCACGGCGAACATGTGCACCAGCGTGCGGGGCACCAGGCCCTCTGACACCGCCGGGTCCGTCTTACTGCGCGCCGCCTGCTCCGGACCCAGGAGCGTGTAGGTCTTACCCGAACTCGTGTGGCCTGAGAGAGGGAGACATATGATTTTGACACATATGATAGCAGACTGAGACTTGTAACTGAGCAACAAAATTCTACTTTTGCACTATTACGGCGCATCGCACTACCCTATTGTAGGTTCTACAGATAATGTTTAGAGTTAGGTACCGGTGTTCAAGGGTTAGGTGTAACATGAACAAGTCGTTCGGTGTAATATAGCCAGCTACCGCCGGCTATTAAAATAACGCGTTCGCGTTAAAAACTCTTCAAAACGCTGTATCAAAATCCCCACCCGCTCCGGAGCCTGCACAGGAGGCTACTCAAACAGGCTGCCACAGAACCAACCGCCCACGAGGCTCTCTAAATAGAGAGTAACCACTTTTTCGATGACAAGGCAGCTGAATTTCGTACGATACAGGCGCGACTATCTCAAGAATGCCCCAAGCTTACGATCGTACGATGATCGTACGAGTAATGTAGCCATGTCCTTGAAGTTTAACACCATTGTTCTAAACCCCTGCTTACCATAGCAGAGCACGCAGCCGTTGACCCCCTGGAACACTTTTCCGACCAGGTCGGCACCTGTGGCGTCATACACGTCCTGCTGACTACTGTCCTCTAGAAGTACCTGGAGAATAAAAAAAACATTACATTGAATAATGGGTAGGTAAAAAGTAATTTCAAAGGTAGTCTCATACATAGCCTTTTTGAGCCCGTAAAGGGTTATTGATCCACACTATGTCTAGGACACGGTATTGGAAGGTGGAACCCATCCCTCTCCTTCCACTGCCTTTTAGCTTTCCAACTAGCTAGCACCTAATACTAGTGACTATTAGTAAGTAATTCAATGACAGGAAATAGGAGAAACAACGCTATCAAAGGTAGCAGACTTCATCCCTACCAAAGAGCCAATAAAGTTGCTTAATTGCAATAGTTAATAATAATAATAATATCAAAGAAGACAAGTTGCTCAGTCGAAGACGTAAAAATTTTCCTTGAACGAATTTTCCATGACTAGACATGGTGACGGCAAGCTTTTTCTATCAACTTATTTTATGCCGCCACCAACGCAGAGGACCAATACTGGACAGGGCAACACTCATTTTCACTTAAGTGAGGAAAGTCGTGCAAAGTGCCTTTCCCAAGGGCACAAGATCGGTGGCATGTCAGGACTCGAACCAGGGACCTCGAGTCCTGACATGCCACCGATCTTATTCTTAGTTATTCTTGCAGATTTTTTTCTGAACATTTTAACGAGCAAACTACACAATTTCTTCATAGAAAAAGGACTACTTGCTTTGTCAAAGGAGTAAAGTTTTTCCCTTGAGGATTTTTCCTCGGGGACGTCTATGGTCTCCTTGCTGGGTCTGACGACACCGATGGTCGTCCTGTTGTCGTGAACTGTGACCTTCTCGTGTTCTGTGGATGTTTCTGTCTTCTGCGCATGCGGACCACGCATGCGCACAACCACACGGAGGTTGTCTCTCTTCCCACCTGTTAATTAATCAACCAATTAATCAAAATAACAAAAATATCACCAAAATTACCAATGAAAAAAACACAACTGCAGTTGGCGGAAGTTGTCTCCTTTTCCACCTGCCAATCAACGAATCAATCAATCGATTAATCAATCAATCAATCAATCAATCAATCAGTCAATTAATCAACCAATCAATCAATTAATCGAATTAACAAAACTATTACCAAACTCACCCATAAAAACACAACTGCAGTTTCAAATAAAGCCGCTAATATTACAAAATCCTTGATCATAGAGCTTCAAAACTGTATACTTCCAAACAAGAAGACCACGAAACATTCATAATCGATACAAAATATCATTTCAATGTGCTCCAACTTTCACAGCAGGTCTAATATTTTGCCATTTTATTAATCAGTACTGCTGGGGACCCAAAGTGGCTTATTTGGGGGAACTGTGCCATCTATGTTTCTTACTTGTGAGAACTGTCTCTTTACATGTACATGTACACATGTGTTGGTAGTAGGGGAACCGTACCATCTCTGAAAGCCTGAAGGATACCTACCCACAGTCACCGGCCTGTTAGCACTGGCGGTCATGTTTCCTCTGACAGCTGATACTGAAAAAAAAACACGAGTCGTTTAGGGTGACGGTCTTAGCCTGGTAGCCAGTCTTTTTAATAGCTTTGGTACTCTTCCTCGGCCGTTTACTTGCAAAATGAGATAGCATAGTACTAAAGCCGAAAAGGCTGGCATCAAGGCTACTTATAATTAGTTAGAGAAAAATTATTCATCTAGAAATGACAGCTATGTCTGGAATGCTGATGTTTGTACATGAACGTTTTTAATAAACCAGTCACAAGATAAATCCGCCCTAGGCCCATTTACCTTCTACCCAACTCTTGAATCATCATTTTTCGGGTGTTAGGAAATACCTGAATACAGACATTAGTTTTACTTTCCTAGAAATAACTTGACCCCCTCCCCTTGTTTCCTATTCTCAAACCAAGCTCTTCTAAAAATAACAGATACTAAGCGAACTTCTTGACCCTGTATCGATTGCTATTCCTTTTACTTTTAGAAAAAACGTTGCGAAGCAAAAGAGTGTACGTAGCTACAGCCATATATCGTTCACATGAGAATAGCTACTAAAAGTAATTTGATATTTTACGCATCATTTTGACAGCTTCACCTAAAATACAGTTTGATAATTATTCAGTAACATTAAAACCCAGGTTGTTGACATTTTCTTCTGTACACATAGCAAAATCGATCTTTTAACTTCAGGATACTGGAAAGGGCTACTGACAGAATTAAGTAATATTGTTTGTAAACGACCCACCTAGACGTGATGTCCCCAAATGACTCCAAAGCTACCAGCTAATGTTATTTTTGTTACAAGTACTAAAATAACTTCCGGTACACCGCCTTTTCCTACCCCTCCCCTTCACACATTGAAAATCGATCTGTTCAATAAAAGAATCTGCTAAAGGAAGAGCAAAATAGAGAACGTAACAAATAACTCACGTACACAAGACCTCCCGAGGTCCTGGATGAGTTGTTCTCATCCAATGTTTTCTTTCTCTTTCTCAAAAATGTTACTAAACTAACTTCCGGTCTCCGGATTTGTATTTAGTGAGCTACTGAAGTCCCTCTTTACATTGCAGATCGATATTTACTGAAACAATGTACTGAAGAAAGAGAAAAGAAGTGAACGTAAGAAACAACTCACCTAAGGCAGCCTTGCTTACCGAAATGACTTGATGTATTCTCCTTGTGTTTTTGTTTCCTCGCTCCAAGTTGTTACAAACATAACGTCTCTAAGCCGGCTTGTTCGCCCTGACGACCCATCAAGCCCCACACTTCACGTCGTCTTACCCCTCCGCGTTACCATGGAGACGCCCACTCCAAGACGTCTTGACCTTCGACCCCACGCACTCTTAAGACAAGGGTGTTGTCTCAGGAGTTCTCAGCCGTTCATCGTGGCGGGAAGGAGGCTTGTTCTAACCTCTCGTCTTACATCGTCTGGGCAGAGATTGATGTTATTTCTTACACGCATGATTACAAAACCAAATCCAGTCGCACCTTCAGGTGTTTACAACTCTTACAAAGAAAAACAAAGACTGAAAAAAAGTTGTACAGAGCGATATTTAGAAGCGACGCTATACCTTGTTTATAGTTCCACATACACGTTTGTACACGTACTATTCTCCATCGGGAATGTAATCTTGCTGTCTTATATAATATTTTCCTGACTTATGCTCTGCATTGCTCTTTCTTGAAAGAAAGAAAAGTGATCTCGAACCAGTTTTAGTTCACCGAAGAGCTAATCTCCCACTGGTCGTGACAAAGAAGACAGATTCTATGTACAGTATTTACAGATTCATTATACCGTGGAAATTCCCTTAGCTCTTTTTGACAAGTACAGTGAACAGTAGACCACAGCTTAACGTTTTGTCCCAAGAACTGCGACCCTTTCCAGTAGCGTGCCTGTCGGGTGAGCGACAACAGCTGGGATTCGAACTCCAAACCTCTTGTTCCAGAGGCAGGGGCGCTATTACTGGACACCGTACGCCTGTTTGACATTGGGTCTAAGGTGAAGGTCCTGCGAACCAAAGCGGCGAAGGGAACAGGCGAAAACTCGACATTCGTGTTTCAAGTAGTCTCACAACAATGTCTTAGACTCAAGAGCAAACTTGATACACGTTCTTACATTTTTAACTCATGTGAGCCTTACGTGAAAGTGTTGTTCATGGACGACACGGTATGATGGTTCGGAGTTGTACCTTAAGCACCCGGTGAAGTAGCGGCTTAGCTACCAATTCTCTGTTGATTCTCTGTATTGTCACTAACTACCATATGGACTACCCAGGCCTAGAGCCTCGGAGGACGTGATCTTTTTTTTTCTTGAGAACAGGCGAAAATCCATGCGCGCGCGGATGTCATCGATAAAACTAAGGCGGTGTGGCCTTAGATATTTGTTGTGCCCAGCTTAAAAGCGAACCCCTTGCGTCATACCCGTACATTAGTTTATGCGTCATACCCGTACATTAGTTTATGCGGCACGTAGCATCTTCCATTAACTATGGAACTTCAGCCCAGTCACGAATGGGCACGAACTGTAATTGGCAAAACCTGCAAAGAACCAAACCTACCGCTACATTAACGGTGAAGATCAAATGAAAAATAGCTTTCTTACAACTACTCAAAACCCACAAATCTTGGAAGAGGGTGGGGCATTATGTCTTTTGCGGCTTACATAGAAGAAGTTAAAACCCCACAATGTAGTTTTGGACAATTTATCTCATAGAATGTAGATGTTAAAATCCGTTGTTTTTTTGTTCCCGTGTCTTTGGTACCTGCGCAATTAGCCGACCTCCCCGACCACCAGCCAACCACAGCCGACATTGCTCCCGAACTACTCCCAACCATGGTTGGGGGGAGTTCGGCAATGTTCATGATACCATATTCGGCTACACAGGGGCTTTACTCTACATTTTGCCCCCCCCCCTCCCCATGGGACTATTGAATAGCAGGCCATACGTTTACAAATATACAAATACACATAGAAATATTTCATATGCACTAGCACTTTCGGCTTCATTTGTTAGTAATTGTGTAAGTGTAGAGAGATGTAAGACCATTTTGCCTCCATGAAAAAAACTGTTTGGGTCTGCACTGTCTATGTGTGTGTCTCCGTATATGTAACTGGGTTGTAATGATATTTGGTATGTGACTAGGTGTTGGGACGAAAAGGTCAAGGTCAGTTACGAGCCCCCTGGCCGCTTTCCTCGGTACTGCAACAGAACTTCGCTTTTAGTTTCTTTTTTCCACGATGTGCCTGTGTTAGGGTACCCAGCGGAATCACGAGAGTTGGCGGTATAGTTACAGAGCTAATAGACGGAAGTTTCTTAGCCGGGAGCGTCTCTCAGCCGAATGGACCACCCTTCTGTTGAAAACATCAAGGGACAGGCGACACGGGACTTTGTGGTCGTCACTAATTAGACCCGCTGTCACCGACAGTCCCGCCAAAAATAAATCTGGCTTTGGACTGTGTTTATCTTGTGGCAGCGGCTTGCCGGTGAGGGGAGGAAGCGGGGAGCCCGCACAATGCACCCTAACGAAGAGGCTAATTGGTTAACTACGCAAGTCGGCGGACGGACGCATGTTTTGGGCGCTAGGCGGAAAACATCGTCCGGCGGACAAAAGGACCTTCGTCACGGCGGGTAACCTTATCCACGGCCCTGCTGCAGAATGGAGAAACTACAAACGTACGAAACAGTCATTGTAAAAGCCCCTATCCGAGGCTTTTAGGCGAATGCTGGTCTGGGCAGGACTTCACTCGCCTGCTGGTCGGCTCCCTGAGCGCACTTCGGTGTCTCCGCTTCTTCAGAGTCAGCATAACGTACTACGGTAAGGAATGTTCATTTTCGTACTATGTAGGTTGTATACTTAATTTTTATTTGAAGGAAGGCGTGTTTTAATAGTCGTGTGCAAGAGGAGGTAACGTGAAAACAGAATCGAAGCGCTTAAAATTAATTTTTCCTGGGAGCTGTTGTGTTGTACAATGATACCCTTGTTATCAAATTTGCGAACAGGCTTCTTCTAAGCGGACGTTTAGACTTAACTTTGGCATATTTTTGACGCGTGTTTAGGTGTTTTAATCGGATTTTCTTTCTAGTACTGGTGTCATTTTTACGCCAGCTTTTCGGGTGGCAAATGGCAACTGCCCAGCAAGTGGATACAGCCTGGCCAATTTGATACTGTCTTTGCAGCCACCAAAAGATCTGTTGGAGATTAGCTTCTTTCTAAGAGATGAGAAAAACGCAACCTGTAATTAGACAATACATGTAGGGTTTTTATGCAGCGTTCAGGTGTAGCAGAATGTTAGATAAAACAAAACCAGCCCCAGCGTTACGCTGAATGACAGTAATACCAGCTACCAGGCTCGTCTTTGAGCTGCGTTGTAAGCTGATGATATGTTCAGCACCAAGGGCAGGGCAAAAACACCAGTCAGATGCTTTGAGGTAACGTAGGTATCTTCTAATGAAGCGAAACGTGATGCTTTTTCATGTAGTGCATTTTTGCTGCGTCACTGCTCGTGCTTTTCAATAAGCACATCGGGTCACCCCGACTTTTTCCATAAGTGTGTTGTGTTGAGTACATTTTTCTGTTGAGAAGCTCTGCTGATGAAATTATTTATAAAATTCTGGTTAAAATGCAGAGAAAAAAGACAGCGTTACGTTTGTCACTCTGAATTTAAAAAAGTCGTTTTCTCAGTTTCACGGTCACCATATTGAAAGCTCTTTCTGCCATATGGTTGAAAAGCGTAGCATGTCTGGTGACGGACAGCGCCTTTTCTCTGTTATGGTTATGTGTCTTTATTTCCTTTATGACCTCTGATCTAATTGAGACATGGGACCTAGGCCCCTGTCACACATAGCCAAATATGTTCTCCTGAACACTGCCGAACAGTGGGGTCGTGTGGCGGCAGAGTGCGCTACTTGGAACCAAGAGGTCCAGGGTTCGAGTCCTGACATGCCATCGATCTTGTGCCCTTGGGAAAGTACACGACTTTCCCCGCTAGACTCAAGTGAAAATGAGTATTGTCTGTCCAGTATTAGTTTCTATGTGCGGGAAAAAAACACCAGCAACAACTGCCTCTGTTCCGCGTGTATTGCACTGTTGCAATTTCAATAAATCAAACAATCAAATGAATCAAATCAGGGTCGGAAGTGGGAGTTAAAAATCGACCCGGGGCCCGGTGACAAAAATACACCGTAACCTCATCGTGATAACATCGTCAGTTGCCCTCCATGTGTCCGGCAGTCCACCAGGCATTTGTTTTTACATTACTGATCAGCTGCATAGAACGAAATTTCCCGGGTGCCCGCCGGAACACACCAGGATCTCTACAGGGTAGCGCCACTGCGGGTTAAGGCTAAGGGAATTTTTCTGAATGCAGACGAGGTAGACAAGCCGTTTTGCTAGAACTGTTCTGGCTAATTGAGTTATATGCACAAGTTACAAGCTTATGATAGGACAGATAATACTGTTGAATACAAGAATAAAAGACCTGTTGAGTTCATATATGTCATGTCAAGGCTTATGACCTCACAGTTTTGAAAGTGAATGAATCATCTCTTTTGCCCGCCTGGTTTTTTTTCGCACTACCGCATAAGATTTGTAGGATGCCATCCATAGAATTTACTTGCTGTGGCCTTAGGTACGCAGCATTACTGTCTGACAAGCTATACAAGAGGAGCAAAAACCTTCTAAGAGCTTTCTATGAGCCTTTCTAGCCCCTTTAGTTGACTATGATGAAACATAGCTACCAAGCTTCAAAGATGCACTGAAGGTAATGCGAGCCTCCGGTAAGTTTCAAAAAAGCAACATTCAAAATGCCTTCTGCTCTAGATTGAACAGATGGTGGCTAACAGGCAGATGATTGTGGCGGTTTTATTGGTCTCCATGGCGACCAGTCATCTCGACGCGCACGTCGTGAGCTGCGCAGTTCCCGCCAAAATTGACATCCGGGATCCACGTGAAGGTAAGAGCCCCGGCTTCCCGCCAAATTTCTGCTCCGTCAGAGTTTTACTCTGGGGAATTGTGCTTAAAGTTTAGGGGTAGGGTTTCATACTTGTGATAGGGTTAACTTACGGTTTTTGTTCGCGTTAGGGTTAGGTTTGGGGTTAGGTTTAGTCTCCACAGCACGAACAGCCACCTCCTACCTCAAGTATATTGAAAATCCTCAAGTAGTGTTCGATTTGACAGGCTAGGGGCAAAAATCTGCAGCTGGCTTGACATACGATCGTCATACAATAGAAAAGTGAGGGCGTTCTTCAGGTAGTCGTGCAGCAACATTCAGCTGTCTACACATGAAAGCCTGTCTTAGATCCTTGTCGGCTGTTGTTTCTGTCACAGCTTTCTTCTTGGAAACTCCTCGGCATCACGCCCTACCGACTAGAAACAACCTCTTTCTTCTGTGTTTGTATAAAAGGCCACTTGAGCGTCCAAAATCAAATGTGAAAGATCTCTTAAGAGTTTTTCAGTGAGCGCTTTATGATCTCCATAGTCTTAAAATCGTTTCTTGATTCTTTTCATATACCGAAAGGCCCAGAAATACTAACTGGTGAAGCTCTTTTTGGTCGTGTTATAAGTTGATAGCATGTTCAGCACCAAGGACAGAGCACAAACATCAGTCAACTCAAATCAAATCTATCTCAAGCGCTGTGTTTCGTATTTCGTTCTTTTTATTTGCAATGAACTGGTTTCTTCCCCATTTCTTTGCCTTCAGACGTTACAAGCTCTAACTCCTTGGCGATAGATGCTCATGAGCCGCTTCTTGAGGCGCTGTCCACCGAAAGTCAAGAAGCACAGCTGGCGGAACAGCCGGGCGCCCGCCGGCCGCTGCTGGTCCGGCTGCCCTGGCCTCTGGCGCGCGCTCTCAACAAGCGGGCCAGGAAACCCCCCAACATGAACTCATGGGGCCAGCCCTGGGGCAAGCGGAGTCTCATCGACTGAAGTCAGTTACCAAAACACTATCATATATACTCATAGACGATTCAAACTCTACTTTGACTTACTACTATATAATAAGCTTCAGCTTAGACTGTTTGCTACTCTTTCTGTGATTCCACATCAATACATGAAGTCCCATACGATATAGGAAGACAACAAAACAAAGTAACAATCATACACATAAAACATACCATACGGAATCAAAGTACAAAAACACAGAGAAACAAATTAATCAACTGTCCTGTCGTGAGGTGTAGTCCTACTACTGGATGAAATACGAAAATTTTGATTTCATATTATTTATTTTACTGGAATTGTAACAACGCAATACAGTAGCAAACCCAGGCAACATTGTTGTTATAGGGGGCCATCAGTTTGCAAAAAGGGTAAACATAACTTGACATAACTTCATATTATATCAAAATTGCAGAATGTACTATTTCTATATTTGTAATACGGAGATTACTTCTGGACGTCTTTGAAATCCATCCCTTTTTTCAGCATCACTACAGTAAACCGGCAAAAACACTTGTGTAAAAGAAACTGGGAACGGTCCAACGTTGTTGTTAGTAGTAGAGTTTGAATTGCCTATGAGTATATCAATACGTGGATGTCTACCCTTCATCAAAAATACGTCTACGAAAAGATACGCCAACGCCACCTCAGAATCTGTGTAGGAGTTATGGCAGGGAAAAACATAATATATCTTTGAAAGACAGATTATATTATGTAAAATGACATGTAGGTGAAACGTATACGTAAAATGCTAGACATTTTGTGTTCACTGTTACAAGATCATTCAGATGACTTTGCAGGATGACTACTGTATTTTCGATTAGTGCAAATCTTCTAAAGTTCATAGATATATCATGAACCTACTGACACACAACTGTTTTAAGATGAGTTATAAAACGAGTCTATCAAAAAGAGTTATCCCAGACTTAAAACTGGAACATACAGGTAATGTTATGGTGATTGTAACTGTGTTTCTGGATCAGCTTTAAGTTCAGTGTCAAATGAAACACTTATAAATCTATATTTCAGATTGTCCACGATTGTCACCAAACTACAAGTGCCACCAGATTCTATAAAGGATGAGTCTATCCTGTGCAGAGCCACGTGCTTACAAAGTATGTAGAAAATACTCGATGTATTGTGCAAGTATATGTAGTCCCTCTTCTGTCACAAGAGATGTACCGTTTCCTGAGCCCAACTAACTAGAAGAGGTGGCCGTTGCAGTGCAACACAGTTCCGGTATTCATAAAAGTTGAAGGACGCTGTGTTGTCTCTCATGAGTAGTTAGTAGTAAAGAACCCATCTTTCCTTGCACGTTAAAATGGGCCGGAACCATTATATGTACAATCTAGGCGTCACTGGTGCAACGTTCGCTGAATAAAACAACCTGTCCTACTGGGCACGGATTTGACCAACCACAACTTGCTGTATGGTGTTCCTTTAGTTCTTGCATCATTTTCTGGTTTAAAAATTGACCTGGAAATTAAAGCTGTCTTATTTTTTTTTACTGGCGTCCACCCATGGACCATGCAAAAAAAATTAATAAAACAATAAACACATTTTGGCAGGAAAAGATTGACTGGCAACAAAAACATCTTTTATTGGAATGACGTCAGAATTCTTGTACATGTAATAACACTGCTTGAAAGTCTGACAATATAAATCTACTGCTAGAATCTCACAACAACATCTGAGTTGACTATCAAATTCTGAACCCCATGTCATCCGATTGTGCACACAAGTTTAATCTCAAAATATCTACAGCAGCCACCAAAGAATCTTTATTACCAAATGTATAAAATTTCCAATAATACTTTCTATGTTATCATATCATAAACACCCAGGATATGATTTAACAATTCCACACATATTTCTCACACCTGTGATATCCTTACATCAATTCTGTCATGGGGCTACATCATTGCAATAAGGAATAAAAAAACAGCAATTCCTGATGTTTTCAAGAAAGAAAGCAGCAACACGAAATCTATTTTCAATCTCAGTACACATAAAATAACAATACTTAATGTTCCTGAAATAAATTCGTCCGACACAACAATATATACAACATTGCCATATTGCAAATCAATATATAATAGCAGTGATAGTCACCCATCAAACATATTTCAACACTGAAAAAAAACAGCTATCCTCTAACTCCATAAATATAGCAATCTTTACCCAGTACATATTACTAAACTGTTTTGTTTCTGATTACCCAAACTGACTGTAAGATTTTTGCAAGGACCAAGCAGCAAAGGAAGACACAGAATAATAACACTTTACATACATCAGCGTACTTTGCAGAGCTATTTTCACATCCACTCCAGTGGAATACTGCATGATTCTTCAGAATTGTTGTGAACTTGTTGATTGATACATATATATTAAGCACCTTTAGATGACACCCTGTTACTGGATAAATCTTTCAACAACCTCACCTCACCCCACCTCACCTCTCCAAGTTAGTTATCCTAACTTGATTAATGTAACTAACTAACCTATTAACAGTCAACCCCAGTGCCACACCAATTCACTTACTTGGTTCTCAAACATTCAAGAATAAAAAAAAATATCGAAAGGTCAAGATGAAAACAAAAGGCTGGGAGGAAAACTTGCATGGATTATGTATAGTCAAACCTGTACAAGTGACCACATCTACATAAAGGACCACTTGGCCAATTTGATCACTTTTTGGGATAATTTTTCTCATTGACACAAGCATGATAAGAATCCTGTCTATAGTGACCATATAGACAAAATTTTATTGGTCTCCTGAGTGGTTTTCTTGGGCAGTTTTGACCATATTTTTGGTACTCATATACCAAAGTACAAGCTTTCCCCTCAGACTAACTTTTTCAGTTAATCTAATCTGGTTTAGCACAATTTTATTCTCAAACTGAGAAATAAGTAAATAAAATTACGGTGGCCTAACATATCTAATATACATAGACAAACATGTACAGACTTAACGTTAACCTTCACCCTTATCACTTATTTCAAAACTTCCCTCTGTGTTGTTTTGAGCTTCTTCTGTTGTCTGTGTGCTACTAGATACACTAACAGGCTTAACTGTGGCTGACGCTGTCTTACTTCCTGGAGGCAACAAGACAGTCTTGTTCACCGTCGTGTAGCGTGTCTTAACTCCCGTGGAAGGCACCTTGGGTAACGCTGAGTTTTTCGGGGGTGGGGAAGCGGCAAACTTAAGGATTCCGGGTTTAAACGTCGATCTCCTTCCGTCCGGAGCTGTCGATGTCTTAGATGCAGTGTCTTGTGCAGTTGAAGATGCTGCAGGTTTGGTTGGTTGTGTGGTTTTCACACTGTTTGAAGTTGCAGTGGTGGCTTTAGTGTCGGTGGAGTTGGTCTCCGTGGTGCCCCCCTCCCCAGGTGGTTTGGTGATGACGGGTCTTCTTCTGGGAGGAGCCGCACTTTTGGTCTTTCTGGGTGTGACCTAAGAAACCAAAAATTTCTTGCTGATTCTGTGAATTTCCAGGCTGAGTAGAAACCACTGTTTCTTACCATTTGACTTTCCTGACCTATGCCTTGTACTGACCTGTGACCTATACTAACCTGTGACCTATACTAACCTGTGACCTCTCCTGACATGTGACCTGTACTGACCTGTGACCTATACTAACCTGTGACCTCTCCTGACATGTGACCTGTACTGACCTGTGACCTATACTGACCTGTGACCTGTACAGAGCTGTGCCCTGTACTGACTTGTGCCCTGTACTGACTTGTGCCCTGTACTGACCTGTCACCTGCACTGACCTGTGACCTGTACTGACCTGTGACCTGTACTGACCTATGCCATGTGCTGACCTATGCCCTGTACTGACCTGTGACCTGGGGATGGGTGCCTCTGCGCCCCGTGCAGGAGGCATCTTGGGAAGGTGCAGGCTGGGGTCTCCGTTGTAGATCATCTGGAAGTTCTTCATGCTGGTGAGCGGCAGGATGGACTGGTTCTTACGGCTCTTCTCAAATGTGTCCAGGGTCACGTCTGTTAAAAACACATTCAAAAAGGCAGCACATCAGAACAGGGTCTGAAATACAATGGACTGAGTGCAATATAATGCACTTCTGTGCCAACCAGCATTGGAGCTGTGCACCTAAATTGACTGTGGGTGCACCAGTGCACCTGATAGCTGTCTTGGGTTAGGTATGTACAAGAACTATAAATTAAAAATACCAGAAGTGTCAGAAGAAAAAAATCATAACCGTTAAACCGTTAGGTGTACCAAAGCACCTTTGCCCAGAAATAAATTTCCAGTGGTGGTCAGTCCTGATCTGAGTGGAATATGAACCTGAAAAGTCTGATCTTAACCAGCTTATATTTTCTGTACAAAACTTGAATGTGTGTTATACTTATGCAGTTTACTGGTTATGCTATATGAACAAAAGTTTTTTGGGGGGCAAGGACCTGAAGAAGAAGAACATAACATGTACTTACGAACAGTCTCCTCCACCAGAGCAGGTATAACATCCTGTAGGACCTCACAGTTAGTGTGCAGGGCAGGGTTCACATTAATCTCTAACAGGTACACCTGGGAAACAACACACAGGAGTTATACATTGGCATTACACTTGGTGTCCATAAAGAGTGGAATGATAATTTAAAAGTCTTGCAGCTTCATACTTCATAATACATTGGAGGTACTAGTAATTGTATTACTGGACATTCTGCTAATATGATAATAAGAGTGATGTGTTACTTTGATGGGACTTTCAGTAGCAATGCAGCAAACTTCGCCTGGCTTTTAACTCATAGGTCATAAGTCATTAAGGATCTCTTTTTAATTAAGAACTTTCAATTGGTTTTTTGTTTGATTTTGGAAGAGTGTGACCAGGACTGTTGACTATCTTGTAACTGATTTACATGTACAATGTATAGGAGCTGCATCTCAAGTATGTAACAAGTCATGTAACTTTGTAAGGGAGGTACCAAAAAGCCCCTTAGGCTCTGCTATAGAAAGGCTGTTTGAATGTATGTTTTCTAGTCACCGACAGGTCAAAAAACGCATCATTGAGCATATTTGGTGCTGTAGGGACTAGACATGTGTGCGTCATTCATTCAGAAACTACGCAATACCTTCAGGACATGCGGGAACGCAAAATTACTCAGCATGAAGTCATGGGAGTAGTAAAAATTGTGAAGGGTACACAGAGTAGGTTTTATTGAATACTCTTGGGGTGCATTTCAAGTGGGAGAAGTTACACCACTCACAAAGGTTCAGATATTAGGTGCTGACTCAGAATCCATCATTTTCAAGGGCAAATTGACCCAAAGGACAAATACATGAAGAGCTTGAAAAGACTGACAGTGTTTATTACCCATTCATGATCACCCCTTTCAATGTTTCATGGTGTCTCAAGTTTTCAGGAGTATCACCAAATGGCACTTTTAAAAGTTTTGAAGAAACACATTTAAAACTTCTTATCATCAGAACGAATGTCCATGACCTTCAGCACTGACCTTCATGTCTTCGTCGAGCAGGAAGTCGAAGCCGTAGAGGTCAAAGTAGCCGAGACGACCTTGGATCTTGTGTCTGACACTGTGGAAGCAGTGGAGCATGATGTCCTTCATTCGGCGCTGGAAAAAACATAAACGACAGTCAGGAGAGCCTTGATACATTCAGAACAGACTTGTTCATGTCTATGAGACATTGTTGAAACACACAGGACTGTATGGTTCATACATCATTGTAAAAACAGAAACGGTAATACTTATCACAATGTTCAAACTTTAAAACCAAGACGTTTTGCTGACATACGTTATTTTACGTTATAATATATTGTGCAGCTAGATTTTAATGTAAGGAGCATGAGAGAACTTATTCCCCAAGATGAATCTCAAGCCTTGTATATATAAAAGAGTCAGAAAGTTGGCTCACCGTTAGTCCGTTAAAGACCCAGTCCTGTGGAAGCCCCTTGTCATCAGCGCAGGTGTCGTTGATGTAATCATTCAGATGGTCCATGGACCAGACTGTCTCATCCTTCACCTCCTCATAGTTAGGGTCCTTCTTCTGGATCCACTGGAGAAGCAAAGATAGAAAAAATTAGCACAATAAGAAGTAATCTAAAATGTTTGCCTTGGGTTAGAGACGTGAGTGTTTGAGCCCTGGCCAAGTCATATACCATTCAAGACTTTTCAAAAATGGTTGAACACACACCACTACCAGTGCATGGACTAGCCCCTGATGTAGTGATTGCGACAGCTTGCAATGGTTTAGTTACTGACTATTCTGAATAAAGGGTTACATAATGCAGAGTTCGAAATACAAAGGTGCAATGTGCAAATTGCACATAATTTTCAAGATTTGCACCTAAAAATATTTTGAATGTGCAATTTTGCACCTGGAAAATACCGATATATCATGTTTGCACTGCGTATCTCCGAAGTTTCTTGCTGTGTCGGCATCGCGCTTGGCGCATGGCAGCCATATTGTTTTCCTTACTGTACATCCTGGGAACAAGCTGCTCTCGTCCCCAGGTGAAGACGCGAAGGCACTACGTAATGATTTACCAAATATGGCAAGACGCGAAGGCCTACGTAGCTGATTTACCAAATATGGTGAGACCCGCGAAACTTGTTGCCCGATGAGGGACGAAGTCCTTCGGCAGAGTAATTTCGGCTTTTTCGTCCACTTTTCGGTGAAATTCGGTGAAAAACAGAGTTTTTGGATTTCCCAGCATTCAGTGCTACCTAGGAAATTTGTAAAGCATGAAGAAGGGCCCATGAAGAAGGGGTCGATTTTCAAGTTCTTTTCACGGGCCCAGCCGGCATCAGAGGCTGATGCAGCCGGTGGCGGTAGACCAGAGGCTGGTGCAGCCGGGGGCGGTGGATCGGGAGATGCCACCGGGTCCACCGTCTCCGAGGATCCCGCGGCCGCGGCCGATGTTGACGACGCGCCCCTAGAGGAGGGGGAGGGGAGCGCCAAGAAGCAAAAATTTACGTTGTTTTTTTCTAAGCAGTATTTTTTCCTTATATCATGCACGATATTCAAGGTAAACAAATATGCAAAATAAATGAAATTTATTGCTCGCATACTGTTGGTAAATTTTCTTTATGTGCCGTATAAGATGTGGAAGTTCCAACTGTAGTGTTCGTGACATGATACCCCGGTATGACGAGTGAGAGAGCCGGAAGTCACTAGCGGCGTCCTTTGAAGCTAATGCCGACAAATTTTTTTTGTGTGTTCTTTTTTTTTTATAAACACAGATGATACTAGCATTGTTCATGTTTTGTTTGGTCCCTTCTTTTTAATGTATACTAAAACTTCTATATGCAGTGGCAGGCTAAGAAGGTTAATACACAGTAAAACAGTTGCAAACCTAAAGATGCAAGGCTATTAATATAATTTTGCACATAAATTTTTCAAATTGCACCTAAAAATTTTGCCAATGTGCAATTTTGCACGTACCTGAAAAAAAGTATTTCGAACACTGTAATGGCAGTCATGAATTTTAAATCAGAACCTTTTGTAGTAGTGTGCAAGCCAGGCAAGCCACAACAGCTTGCACTAGGATTCTATCTACATGTGATTGGTCAGGTGTTCTGCAAGAATGAACCTGATTGGTGAGATGTGCTGTCAACAAGGTACTACCTGACTGGTTCTGTAGGAACGGACCTGATGATTGGTGAGATGTTCTGTAAGAGTGTACCTGATTGGCCAGGAGTTCTATAAGAACGTACCTGATTGGTGAGATGAGCTGTGATGTTAAGGTCGTCGGCGCTGTAGTCCTGCGTACACAGCCGTGCGTACCCGGGATGGTACATCACCACGAAGGGGTTTGTACAGGCAATCAGCATGTACACACGGATGTCAAACTTCTTCCCATCCAGCAGCAGTGGCTTGTTAACGTACCTACAAAAACAGGGAAAGGTCAGTCTATTTTACAAACCATGACACACTGTAGAAAAGGTAGCTAGGTTTATCTTATTAAGTTAAATAATTATTATATATTATGCAAAATCTCTGTTACAGTAATTTCTTTGAGTAGTGAAATTACACCATGGAATCAAACATTTTCCAAAAATTTCGTGATTTTGGTGTACAATTTTCTTCCAGAGAAAGCTGTCAAATGTTTGATTAGGTAATTTAAAAATTATTTCTTTTTTAAATTTAGGATCTTTTGACAGATGTGTCATGAGCTATAAGATGAGCTTTTTATCAATCTTAACCCATCTGCAGAATTCTTTTCCTACTTTCAGCTACTTTCAACTACATTAACTGTGTACTAATTTCTTACTGCATGCAAGAGATCAAACAAAAAAAAAAACAATTCTTAATGATATATGTTTCCAATTTATTTCTCCCCCAGTGCAAAACAATTAATGAAAAAATAAAACGAACAAATACAGGCCTGGTTTTTTTTCAAAACAGGGGAATAAGGGAGCTGCTCCCTCATGTAACCAGCCAGCTCCCTCATACCAATTTTGAGATTGAACCCTAAGTGGCTACTCTTGTTAAAAAATCCCCCCTCGGTCGCTTCATTCCTTGTCATGCTTGCGATCTGCTCCCTCATGCTACATTTTTCTAGAAAACCCCCTGAAATAAAACAAAGCAAAAACAGCAGTGAAAGCATCGCACCTCTGTATGACCCGAGCCATGGGTCCCTTGAAGGGTAGGCGCGCCCGCTGTCTGTTCTGTGTCATCACCTCCAGTCTCTCCTGTAGTGCCGTCACCTCCTCCTGACTGGAGATGAAGAAAATCCCCCGTCCTCGGTTCATCCCGGTCGGCTTACAGATCCATGTCTCTCCCTCTGGGGGAAAAGGAGGAATGGAAAGAGTAAGAATTTAAATATGTTGTTCTGAGATGGATGTGCTGGCACTGTCTAACAGCGAGTCACTCACTCGCTCGCTCACTCACTCACTCACGCACTCACTCACTCACTCACTCACTCACTCACTCACTCACACACTCCTCAAACACACAATCTCACCTTGATATGTGTTGAAGAAAGCGTCCCGATCGTCTCTCACATCCAGGCGGAAACTCTCCGGAAAAAAGTCTCCCATCTTCAGATGTCTGCAAAGAAAAACAATTTGTGACTTGAATGATAGTAACCCCATATTATCATAATGCAAGCTGCAGATTGAAAGAAAGCTGCAAGGGGGTCAATGGATACAAGGTTAGCTTCCTGAACCCACCTGCAGTAGCGTCCTTTCTTGACCTTGGCCATGACCCTTTCGTACTCCCGTAGACTGTTGAGCAGGCCGATCTTGGTGGTCAGGATGGCGTTGTTGGGTATCCTGTTCACCAGCTGCTCTCCTGGAAAAACACGACTCAAGCTGTTTAATCCCACACTTTGTGTAAATACTGGTAGAGAACACTTACTGTAAAATATAAGCTTTACCAGCCTGTGCATCTGAATCAGTCTTCTCTGACTTTTCTCAAGAGACAAATGAATTAGAAGTCATCCACATATATCTTACATATTCTATTGCATAAGAGTGGCATATATACATGTACAATGTACACGATAAATAAATTGGCTGGTCCATTATTCCATCAAGTGATTCACAGAATTCAAGTTAGAAAAGCTCTCAAAATTTCAAATAAAACTAATAATAATAAACCTTTTGAATTGGTGTATAAAATATATATTCTAGCTTCTACAGTGTATGTAGGGATTCCTGTTGCCTACCTTCTTTGAAGCAGTAGTAGTTGATGTGGTTTTTGGTCTCGACCCACTTGAGTTTGAAGTCCTCCCTGTTCTTGTCGTGGATTCTGAGCCAGCCCATCCGCACCAACAGGTCTTCTACCCTGGAAACATACGGTGAAATATCTCATTGACAATTCATCTTAAAACTACCCTTTTTGCTGGATTTATAGTTTGTCAAGGACAACATGTGCCAGCTAATTGGCTTTTGGCTGTCTCTAAAATCTAAGACATAGTCAAGTGGGTGAAAGAATGAGAAAATTTTAGACAAAACTTAACTGAAGTTCCCTGTTACATCCAACTTTTTAATCCTTCCAGGTGACCACACTTTGCTTAATCACAATGCATAGTCTTAACTTATATATTTCAGAGGACTTTTTTTTTTATTGGATGAACTTTTGAATTTGACTTAATACTTTATAAAGTCTATCTCTACAAAATGAAATGTAAATTGTTTTATTCTGCATGTACTGGGCCATTTACAAATCAACTTGAAGGGGTTATACTGTTGTATTATGATGAAGTAAATGGATGAATAAATGAATGAACCTACAGGCGGCCTCCGTTCCCCCCTCCGATGTAGAAGAAGGGTCCGACGTCCTTCCCACTCAGGCGGCGCGGGCTGGTGGAGACCGCCGGCTTCTCACCGGAGTCACCGTCCTCCGCCTGCGACAGACGACTGGGCGCTGAACAGTCCCGGCCGCCATTGGACGCCGAGTCTGAACAGCTGTCATCTGACGAGGTTTCTGATTGGACAATGACAAACATCAATTGTAGTCCATCTAAAAATTGCTTTTTATACAGGCTTTAGTACAGAATGAACATCTCCATAAACCAGTAAATACATACATGTACATTGTTCCTTACTCCCACTACTTTACTTCTTTTAGGGTAAACAAACATGTTTTCAAATTTATGGACATCCATCCCCATTGATTTTGTCACACTTTTTAAATCATCATCCCTATTTGATTGATGTTGTCACACTTTTAAAATCATAAACATTTTGTATTCATTTGACGTACTTCTCTGCAGTCAGCACGGATTTCTTCAGACTGTACCTGTCCATGGTACTGAACTAATAACATCTACATTTAATAATACATGTACTAGTAAAATTTAGCACTCTTTAGCACACTGAAGTAGCTGTTTGGCTACCATTTCTCTCAGGAAGTGAACGTGCTGGCAGTGTTACCAAACAAAAGTCCTTCTACTTCAACTTTTCTTCAAATACTTATAACTAATCTAAATTTAAAGCAACTGGTTCTTTAATTTGTTGTTGTGTCTGTCCTATATACTCACCTGAGCTGGAGGAGCTGGAAGTCTCCTGTTTTCCGTCGCTTCCTTCCAAAGCACACGTCACAGGTCCTCCCAACTGTCTACTCGCAGTTCGCAGACCAGCGGATGACCTTCCCATCCCTTCCAAGGTCACTGACCCTAAAGTCTGTCCGTCCGTCTTTCCAGAAAGTAAACCTGATAATAAACTATCGCTAAAACTACACTGCTTGGAAGGTTCCACTGTTCTAATACTGAAGTTGTCTCCTTTCCACAATAAGAAGTATGATAACACATGTCCAAAGTCTACTCTATAATCAGTTGAACTGCTTTCTGTCTCATCGGCGCCCTCTATCTGATGCTCTTGTATTGCACGCAAACATCTGGCTATGAGTTGACTTGCAAAATTGCCAGAACTTAGACATATAGTGGATGATGGCAGTTCTGTTTTTGGCATAGCACTAGTATCAGAAGCCATGTCTGTGCAAGCAACAGTTTTCAACCTCCCAGTCTGGCTTCCGTAAAAACAGTCGGAATGCCAGTGTATATGAGAACCACACGAGCATTCTGTGCTGGAAGCTTCTGGAGTCTTCCTCACTGCTGTACACAGTGAATCTGATTCAGCGGCGAGTCTGGAATTGGAGAAAGTTTGGCCATGTCTGCAGTAGGAGTCTGTGTGTAAACTGGTGGGACGATCCTCCTGTGTACAGGTCTCTGCTTTCACCATTTTGATATGATTGCAGCAGATATCCGATTGTCTCTTCAGACAAAAGCTGAAAAAAGAAGAAAAGGCATAACATTTTTCAACACCATATAGTCAGATCTGGGCTCTTCTTTCCTTGACCTTCCAAGTTCTCAGCTTGACCTTCCAAGTTTCCATTTATTTCTAAATCACACCTCTTCATTAACAATGCAGCTGTTGTTCGACATTCTTTCTTCATCATCTGACTTCTCAAGTCATGATAGACTGCTCTCCTCACTTTTCTTATGGCAAGACATCATCTAATATTGTTTTCATAATCTTTTCATCATTCCACCCTGATCATCCACATCATCCTCCTTAGTAATGAACTATGTTGACTGTTCGAAACCCACCAGCATCACTAACAGACAGTTATAATATGTTATAATATACTTATTATTAGTGTTCCCTCTGTCATCATCGATCATTACTATCTATAGTTCATCATCTCATTCATCCTCCCACTAATCATCTACATCCACAAGATTCCTCCTGAGCAATGGACCATGATGAACCCCACCAAACACCAGACAGTATAATCTAGTGTTCTCTCATTATTTATAGTCCACAGCTCTTAAAATCATCTCTTTCATCTGTCACCAAACATCTACATTCCTCTCCTCTTCAGAAATGGAGCATGATGATCCCACCAACATCACTACCTCTCCTGACAGTATTATTGTTCATCACTATCTACATCTTCTATTATATAGTCATCTTTCTACCAATCATCCACATCCAATCATAAGTGTTCTCTCTCTCCTCAAAACCTCACAACCAATATCATTATTTCCTTCCTCCTCCTACCAATCATCAACATCCTCCTCCTCAGCAATGCCACATGTACATGGACCATAATGACTGTCTGAACCAGAACCAACCAACATTACTACCAGACAGTAGTACTTATCTTAGTGTTCTCTCTATCATCATTATCTCTCTTTCATCCATGATCTAGCAATCATTGTCCTCCTCCTCAGCAATGCCACATGTACATGGACCATGATGACTGTCTGAACCCCACCAACATCATTACCAGACAGTATTAGTATTCCTTTCAAAAACTAAATGCTGCCTGGTAAGATGTTGCCGAGATCCTAAACTGTGCAGCATTGCTTGGTGTTGTGTAGGAGGGGTGATTTCATGTTCTTGTTTAAAAATTGGCGATAGCAATGCTTCAAATTGTGTACACACACACACACACACACGCACACACACACACACACACACACACACACACACACACATGACGTACACACACACACACACACATGTACACACACTTAAGTACTGAAGACACACATATAAACATGTCACACACACACACACACACTAAGTACTGAAGATACAGTCATATTAACACACACACACACAACCACACACACAACCACACACACACACACACACAGAAAGAGATACACATGCACATACAAATCTCACATGTACGTCAACGGGGGACATTCCTACGAATCATCATGACACAGTTTCAATCAAATTAAGAAATAAATTGGTTTCTACAGAGGTTCCCTGCCAATAACCAATTACACACAATTTAGGCTTAACCTAGTTCACCTAAAAAGTTCAAAAGGTACATACAGCTTGCAATTTGGCAAATAACCAAACACAGCCTTTATATGAGAATTTAAAGGTTATAAGATTCAGGTGCTGTAAAAGAGAGAGGAGTGCAGAGTTTAGAAAAAAAAATGTCAGCATTTGTGTAAAAAGCTGCAAAATATCTTTCAAGATATGGCAATTTTCTTGTAGCAGTCTAGTACGTACATATGGCAAGTGACACTCTATACAAAAAGTAATATAAGTTAAATGAATCATAAAAATCAGGATTATACTGGATTTGAATTCGTAGTTCCTAAAGATTGTAATTACAAAAGAAAATAGAAGATAACCAACCTTACTTCAGCCAAGAAAAAAAACACGAAACAGCTTCAACCATGGATTTAAGTACACTTAAGTTTTAAGAGCTACCACCCAGAATCCAGATGTTTAAAAATTATATTATAAATATATATAATTCCTTTGTATAGAATTCTGTGCCAGAAACACGCCTGCTTGGGAATGCACTTCAGGATTGTTCTACTGTAAAAATTAGATGTAAAATTTAGCTGCTGTCTTTTTTAAGAACTCTAAATTGTAATTGTTATATAATGTACCCGTAATTATAATTATATATGGCAATTTTTAATAGAGAACGTCTGTTTGTCCGATGCACACAGTGACTAGTATATTGTATTTTTGTCTGTCCACCTTGCGTCCTCCTCTTGTTACCTAAACATGAGACAAAGGATTGTCCTAGGTTTTTAGCTATGTATTTAATATGTCATTCATCTTGTATGGAATAAAGATGATTTTAACCCCCCTAATCTTATAGAGTGGAACTCATTTTCAATATCACCAGCTGCTGCCGTGTTACTGTGAGGCTGGTGTGTACACAAAAAGGTCATTATTGATTTAAAAGCACTTGTCTCTAGTGTGCTTTCTGCAGTAATTATACCTGCAGTTCCTACAAACTTCAACAGAGGGCACTTTGACACACAGACCTTACGCCAAGCTCTCAATGCCTTGTCCTAAATTTGTTTGATAAAATCAACAACATTTTCAAGAATTCTCAATTGTTTTACTAAGTTTCCTTTACCAAAAACATTAAATATGAAATTCTTAACTAAAAGTTAAACAGTAATAATCTAAAACCATTGTAGAAGGCCAATATGTATGTCCAAAAACATAAATTTACATACACACACATGTATATACACATCTATGTAATTCTAACCATTTTTGTGTGGCTGGAAAGCTCAAGTTTTTTATATTTAGAAGGGCAACTAGTGTATAATATGTTAAGTACAGTTATTGAACACTTCTAGATCTCTTCCAAGTTAGTTGTGATAAGCTGTTCAATTACATAAGGCCACACCAATTTAATTTGTTGGTTCTCGGATTTTTTTAGAAAAAATATGAAGCGACAGGGCGAAAAAAAATAAAAATAAAAACAGGTCTAGGCATCCTAGATATATAGCCATGAAGTCAACACAAAAGGCTGGGTTGAAATTTAAACATTGAATTTTGAACTTTTAATCAAACCACTGCAATGATAGATGGGCAAACTGTAACAACTAGGAAGAAAAGGACTTTCCTCAACTGTTGGGGGGCAAAACATGAGCATTTTTCAGTTGATTCAGGACCAGAATCAATTTTTTTTTTTTTTTTGCAAATCAGAAAAAACGAAGAGGCGAATCCGAGAACCAACAAATTAAATTGGTGTGGCCTAAGGGAATAGTACACTGCTGTGCACCTGCAGACTCAAGTATTCAGAATAGCAGTAAAGTTTAACTGGTTAGTCCTGTAGTGTAGTAACTAGTTAATAGAAGAATAGAAGATGGTTTGGACTCCAGGTATCGGATCCCACTGAGCCGTTGTAGTATTGCGGAGTCCTGTCATCATTACCAGACAGTGTTAGATCTCAGAATCGTCTAAACCTGCCAGGTAAGATGACACAACTCCGCTAGGTGGTTAATGTCTGCATTGTTTCACCTGTTCCCCCCTTAACAATGATTATGTCTAAATCACTGTCTAAAAATGTACTTCAAAATATATATTTGCTTGGTTACAGCACGGAAAAAAACAACACTTCTATGCACTGAACTTCATTTCCAATTACTGGAATAGCATCTCTCAAATGTAAGTCAAAAACGTAAGAGTGAGGTTGGAATTTATTTCATAGTTTTCTATTCTTTAAAAATTTCAAATCTATTGTATGAAACAAGTGACAAATGGCAGCATCTGGGTCTATGGCAGGATGCTTGTTTCTCTTCCTTTTTCTAAACGACTATTTAATTAGTCCCCCGCCCACTCCATTAAGCTCCTGCTGAAATCTGACAACCACGAAATTCAATTTGTTTAGCCATGAAGACATCATTCTCTTTTAATGGGCCAGACTGACAATCAGCCTGCTCCAGCCAGAGTGTTAAATACAAAGACAAACGACCTACAATGTACTGTGATAGAAGGTCATGTCAAGCCTGAAGGTCAAAAGGGAGTGTATGAGTCATTTGTTTGTCAGATTTTTGTCTGGCTGGGCAGGGTGGGTAGGTGTGGGAGGGGGGCACCAGTCAGCCATGACAAATCTATTCTTATCAGTATGTAATGAGATAAAAGGGTGACTAATCAGCTTGTAACTACTTACACATGGTCTGGTTTTTAAGAAGCTAGAATTTGCATACTCTCCAAGTCCAAGCAGTCAGGTTTAGTCTTTGGCTTATTCTTGACATGTTCTTTAGGCAATTTTTTATCGGGATGTCTTTTTACTGTACTGGTATACATTTTTATTATACTAGCCAAATATATATAGTAACTACTTGGCAAATGGATACTTATTAGTATAAATG